CAAAGAGAAGAAAATAATCCAATAATTGATAAGAACTGAAAAGTTACCCATGTTGAAAGATGTGTGCATCTAGGGGTCGTACCTCTCCCGAGTCTCCACTTTGTTAAGTGTAAGGTTGCGAGTTCAACTCCTAAAAGGATAGGTAGTTGAACCCAACAAAAAGGAATATGTTAAGTTGTTCCTATTATACTTAACAACAAAAAATACAACTTTTCCTTTTTTGGTATCAAACTTCAAATATTAGGCTCAAGTGTCGTGCGAGGAGCAAGCAAGAGAAGAAACAATCCTAATATGGCACAGTGCAGATAGCTCTTTCCTTTTTTCCCTCGGTCGGGTGTAGACTGACCTTGATTATAAACTATAAACTAACTACCAATCAAAATAACCCAATATCTGTACAAGGAAATTGGAAGACGTTGGAGGATATAGAATGGTAATGTAGCTAGAGGACATGGAACAGATAGTATATGTATGTATGTATGCATGCATGCACAATCTACCATCTGCACACTTTTAATTCAATATGGTGAGTACAGGCAGGACCAGGTTCAATTTATATTGCAGAAAAAAGTGCAGCATGCATCTCATTGAAAATCACCGGCCTAATAACATGAATGACGATTGTTGTCATAAAAAATCTTACCCCCAGTTGTGGGAATGAGTTTAGCGAGTCAACAGAAGATCCTCAATGTTGTTGCCTCCTGGAGCATATAATGAATAAGCAATAAATCACTACACAAGTAGCAAGTGAAGGTTGCATGAGGGCTTATAGAAAAGTTGTGATAAGTTGCCAAGAAGAAGGCAACGCAAATTTTGAAATGGCTTATGGTTTTTCTGGGGTGATTCATAACCATTTAGTAGTTCATGCATCATGCCATCATCAGACTCGGTTCAAATTGTTATTGCTCAAATGAAGCTGCTCCGAGCTGGATGAATAAAACACTTTGTTAAAATTGTAAAGAAAATACAGCAACATCAGAACCGAGGAGCATTTTTCCCTTGTAGCTCTTTTTCTACTCAAAGCATTTACCAACCAACTTGCTAGCATCCTATGATGTCTTTATTTTTGGCAGAGGTCAATAACCTGAACTAGAAATTTTATACCTCCTGCCAACGGGTGTGAGATAGAGGTTTCCTGAATCCTAACAACCTCTACACTACGACCGGACCACTGTTTTTAAGAGTAAGAATTGTACCCGCTCAACCATCAGAAGATGACTTCTACCATCATGCTACGGAGTAAGTAATAGCCCGGCTAACCACAAAGTAGCTCATGCACAAACTTATACTATAAGGGCAGCCCCAAAAAGATGTAGATAAATCTCTCTTTCCATCATAAAGCCAAGACATCCCAAAACCTACTTCAAGTTCTATACTAATTACTGTTGGGGAAGAAAAAACAAATTCTTGCTAACCTTTTTAGGTGAGAAAGTTTCAAGATTTCATTCCAATCAGCTATACAGTTGTCTTCCAGATTCAGAAGTTGCAAATAATCAAATCCCTGAACTGCAAAAGATGATGCAGTCTGGCAAAGAAAGAAGACAAAAGCATAGTTAATTATACGGTCAAAATGCACTAAGTTGTTTGAAATATATATGTGCAATTAAGAAGAAAACCTCGCGTAAAAGAAAAAAAAATTGAAACCCCTAAATTTTTTCGTTAAGAGAATGAGATAATGATTTGAGATGAGCCTACCATTGCATATTTTTCTTTCCTATTTACAGATTTAACTACTCGTTCATAAAGATTTTGGATTTTGTAAAGCCTAACTGAGCTTGTAATGTATTCCAACATTCTGTCATTTTTTTTTCGTTTCAACTTTTACATTCTGAAAATAGCAGTGTCAGATCATACCCTATTCTCAGGTAGCTGGTACTCTATTCCATTCTAAGTAACACACATACAAGCATGCATTCATACACAAATACGTAATTAGATGTTAATAGGTGTATATATACAAAAAAAAAAAAAAAAGAAAAAAGATCACCTACAAGGCGCTGCCTGATGTTGCAATGTCATTCATCGTCCCATTGATCACCTGTGAAATCAGCAGACAGATGACATTGTGCAGGTGAAAACTCCTCTATACTTATACACATCATATACATACACATATATAGCATAATTATAACACCGGTAGAAGTTATGACAACGATATCAAACACATGTAACCTAACTTATTTGTCACGTTAGCTCAAGTTACTAAATGGACATAAAACAAGCACCAAGAGTTCAGACGGCACACCTTTATTGTGCTTATTTTATTCCCCATAAGATGTTCTTCAATGTCTGGCAAAGAATGTTTGAGTATTTCAACCTGTGACATTGAACAGACGATGTGTAGCTATTTGATATAGAAAAGCAAATAGTAAAAATAATCATTAGCGAACTAAATCCAAGACAACGCTGCGATTGATCTGTAGCTTGCACATGCATGAACTCGCCAGGGTCGCTGCGTATAACCACACCAGCACCTCGAAGCACCCCATGTTCGAATGTAAGCATAAGGCTATGAGTATTTAGGCAGGCCATTATAATTCATTTGGATGCTTAAAAATCAGTTTATGGTTTTATTGAAGCAATTGGTTGAATTATTTGTGTTACTTAAATTGTTTAAGTAATGAGAAGGATCCTATTAATTATATCGCTTATTCTAATTAGTCATTCATTGTATTGGAATGATTTTTAGTTAATATAGCTGTTATTAACTTATACTTAACTTGGTTGTGTTAAGTATGGCCTAGATAAGTGGGAGCAAATTGGTTTGGTTTTGCTATATTGGTTCGCATAATTACAAAGTGCAAATTAAGTTTGTTGTGACTTTTGAGTTAATTCTGCGAGGTAACAGAAAAGATTCTTTAAGTTCAATACTTTAAAATGCATAAGTAAGTTGGATGTGAGGTTAAGCTTTTGTTATCCAGAAGATTTGGTGATATGATAAAGCTGTTGATTGATATAGTTGTGCTATTCATACAATTATGAATAATTTTATGTTGACAGCCCTATTGTCAAGAATGTTTGGTATTTTTTATATCAATTTTGGTCTATATGAGTGGGAGTATACTTCTTGGTTTACTCTTGAGCGTAGATACATTGCTATGAACATGAACTGGACATTGTGATTTGTAAGTTAAATATGTATGTTGTGTTGCAGAGGCAATTATAAATTTAGTGTTTTGGTTTATGTGAGCTGGTTGTGTCTATGTACTAGTGTGTTGAAGAATGACTTATGTGATCACCTTTAAATTGAATTTGAGATGATTATTCACTGTTATGAATCATACTCAAGTGGGAGAATGTTAAAGTATGAGTGTGATTCATACGGTTTGGTAATAATCCTTGTTGTCTCAGATTACTATAAAGAAGTCTTAATATGTTTATGAGAGTTAATTCGACTATGGTTTGGATTGAAACTCTGTGTTAATAAGCTTAAGAATAGAACTCGTACAAGGATTTGGTCTTGTATTCTTATAGGGTAATCCAAATTTTGTAGTATAAAAACCACAAGCCCCTGCTCTCACAAATATATGCTCTTATTGTTCCAATTACCTATATTTTATGAAAAAATTAGTATTAGGTTCCTAATTTTTAATGTTCATTGATTAAAACCTTATCAATTTAATGAATTAGATGTAAGTTACATAACTTTTATAATAAAAATTAGTAACCGATTTAGAGTTTTAATACTTACACCCTTATTAAACTCCTAATTAATTTTCAATTCCAACATGTCCAAAAAATAAAAAATAAAATTAGAATAAGTTTGTACCCATTAAATATTTATAATAAAAATTAAAATTTTTTAATCTTATATGTACACATTCTTAAATATACCAATTTGTTATATGAAAAATGTACCCTTTTTTTAATATAAAATGTAACCATTTTTTATATAAAATTCATTCAATCTTTTCTCTAATCTATTTTTTAAACTTATAAGGGTACATTCTATTTCGTTGAATTGAGAATGTATCCATGTCTAGTTAACAGAAGAAATTTAATAATGTTATTAAGCCTAATATCTTTTTTTTTTTTTAGTCTTTGAATAACGTACCCATGTTTTGGTACAATAATTTTTTGGTTAGTTTTTATGAATGTATCCATGTATATATATATATATATATATATACACACACACACACACAAAAAATATATTGGAGAGTATAATTCATCTTTAATATTTTTAATCCCATAAATTATGGGTTTTATTTAAAATTTCATTAATATAAATAACTAGAAATTTCACTTTTATTTTAAAAATATAATAACCTACATAGAAATACATTATTACATTAATATCAGGGACTTCGATAAAAAACTAAAAAGCACAAGGGTTTTAGTAAAAAAACATTAGTAGTTAGAGAACGCATCCAAAGCGTCCCATATTTTATAATAATGTTAAGTTGATTAAATTTGTAGACTAAATTTGTAAATTAAGTGATGTGTCACTAATAATAAATAAGCACGTTGGATCAAACTTAGTAATAATCCAATTATCAACTTCTATGTCATTTAGTTTATAAAATTTTGTCATTTAGCATTACCCTTAGACTAATTTTGTAAATTTGTAAACTAAATGATATAGAAGTTAATTATTGGATTATTAAGCATTGATAAAGATACTCATTTTTATCAGTGACACATAATTTAGTTTGCAAATTGTCTACAATTTTAGTCTTATGCTATTTATAAATCATGTAATCTATCACTAATAAAAAAATAAGCGCGTTAATTAATACTTAAATAATAATATAATTATCAAAATCACTTCAATTTTTTTATAAAATATTATTTAAATAGATGATCTGCCTAATTTCAACTTAATTGAGCTCAATTAAGGAATTTTTTTTTTAATTTAAAAACAAAAATTAAACTAAGGTGAAAGTTGATAACCACAATTCTAATTTCTAAACTTGACTCATTTTATTTTTATTTTTATCAAGTTTGTAAGACAGGGTTGAAACTGTAAAAACCGGAGAAAACAATCAGTCACCGGCGCATCGAACGGAGAGTTGGGTCTTGCCCGGTTTTCATTTCGTCCCACACTGACACCTCACCGATCGAATCGATCTTTGCAGCCATGGATTCTTCAAACCTCACCTCGCTTCCGGAGGACACACTCGAAGACGACCAACAACAACAACCGCCACCACAACCCCGACCTCTCTCTGCCTTTGCCGCTCGTCCCGATCGCCCTCCCACTCAGTGAGTTTCAAATTTCAACTTCTGGGTCTCGAGAGCTTCACAGTTCAATGTTTTTTCACATGCTGTTGTTGTTGCAGGACTAGTTCAGAAAAGTACTCAGCTTTGGATTGGAAGGAGTATTTCGACACAGAAGATGATATCAGCATTCCGGATTCGCCTGATGTGAGGATGTCTGTGTAGAATTTTGGATTTTCTGATTCCGCTACGTGTTTATGATCTTCCAATGTGGTTACCCTTTTGTTGTTTCAGGTTTTTCATGTATACACGGCAGGAACGGAGGGACCAGTTGTTTTCTGTCTGCACGGAGGTGGTTACTCAGGGTATGTTTGAATGATTATTTGGTTTTTCAGGTTTCAGTTGTTCAGGTTGAGCTGAAACATCTGTTATAATAAACTCAGGGAAGTTTGAAAGTAATCACATTTTGTTGTAATAAACTCTTTTTTGTGGTTTACTTAATTTGAATAAGCCCATAGTTTCATGAATATTGAATGCTAACATTTTCCCACGCATCTGTTTAAGTTTGATCGGCACATTGTATTTATTTTTATGCTTGGATACTTTGAAAATCTGTTATGCTATGGTAGATTACATGATTTATTTGCGCAGGCTCTCATTTGCCTTGTCAGCAAATAAAATTAAGGAGAAAGCTCGGGTGGTTGCCATGGACTTGAGAGGACATGGAAAATCAACTACCGAAAATGATACCGATCTTTCTATTGAGGTAAAGGCGGTCAAAATTGGATTGTTAAACGTAAATTATGATTTGCTCTTCTAAGCTGTGATTCCTCTGTAAGTATCCAGTCAACTAAATGGTAGTTCTCTTATGTGCAGACTATGTGCAATGATGTTGTAGCTGTTGTGAAAGCAATGTATGGAGATTCCCCTCCTGCAATTGTGCTTGTTGGCCACAGGTTGTAGTTTTTTAATGATTTAGTTTCCATTGAAATTTTCGTAGTACATTACCTTTAGTTCCAGCGTGTGTCTTGAGAGAAGTGAATTTAACACTTACTAAATGTATAAAAAAGATCTCAGTAATCAATTTGTGGGTTTTCTCTGTTTGACGACTTACATTACCACATTTATGGAGTACTCCTGATGTTTTGGGCTTGAAAGCACGAAACATATAAGCTCCGTTCATCATCATTAATCTGTAGCTGATTATCATAATACTGCTATCGGTTGCAGGAATAGACAATTGCATATTATTGGTGAATTTTTTGTAGAAGAGCATATCAATGCCCAATTGCATTTTCTTAAGCTTTATTTACTAATTTTTTTTAACTTCCATGAATCTCTAAGGATACCCGGTGTTCCTAATTTTCACATTAATCATTGCTGACTTATATCACTGTCTACAGTATGGGAGGGTCAGTTGCTGTGCACATCGCTGCAAGGAAAGCATTGTCTAGTTTGGCTGGGCTGGTTGTTGTTGATGTTGTAGAGGTTTGGTTACTGACAAATTAGTATCTCAGATCTGTTTGAGACTAGTTGCCTTTAGTGGCATACATGCAGTCAAATTACACTGACATTTGTGAACATTTCAGGGTACAGCTTTGGCTTCATTGGTTCATATGCAGAAAATCCTATCAGGCAGGGCGCAGCATTTTTCAAGCATTGAAAAAGCGGTACCTACAATGTCTTGAAACCCTAATAATTCCTGACTTTTGTTTACGTTCTAGTGTGCTTGAGTGGCATGAAGCACAATTTTGTTCAAAACTTGCACTGCAATTAGGGCATCACACTAGAAGATGAACAAATTAACACAAAGATTCTTAATGCCAAGATGCACAGATGTAAATGTGATCAAGGCATTATGGCTTTTAAAGGAATATATCAAAGGGCACCCTTGAACTTAGGGGTCAATACCAATTTCTTCTTGGGCTCCGGTTTGATTAATGTAGAGCCTAAACATTAAATCTTCCTGCCAACCAAATCCATTCAATTACATTTGTGCAATTTTTTTCTGACTTTCCAGGAAAAAAAAAATGTTAGATTAATGAATTAAAAACAAAAAGACTTAAACTTTTAAGAACTCAAAACTAACGTGAGTTCCACATCCACTGTTGCACATTAGTCCTACGGTGCAGATTATTATTCCAACAACTGGTTCTAAAACCGGTTTCTGCAAACACATCCTCTACCATAAATGTAGTCCATTCCAGTCCCATTGAATATGATTGGACTTAATCATGTTCTTGTGGTGATCACCTTTGTCAACTTTTACAGACCTTTCATTTGATTTCATCTTGTGGCAATGCTGATGGTGCTGCGGATGTCAGTGCCAGCAGTTCCTAGGCTATGTAGGGCATTGGAGGATACCAGTTTTATTGTTTTATTTGCTAATTACCATTTTTTCCATGGAAAAACACGAGCGTGTTACATTCATAATGATCTATTAACAGATTTGGTTGAGGAAAAGGGCATTTTGAAATTTTACTTAGTTTAGGGGAAACAGTGGTCAAATTAAATGTAAAGGTTAGCATTCTCTTAGCACCAAAGAGAAAAAGGTTAAACATGGACACTGGAATTGGCCCCAAACTTCAAGGAGGATATTGAAGTTTCCCCTTCTGTTTTATCGTGGACTTTACTCTTAAAATTACATTTTTTGCTCGTTTGGTATGCCTGGCTACAATGTGAAGTAAAGCTATTTAAAATCCATGGACGATCATAAGCATTTATTATACTTTTTCATGTTCAAGGGAAGTAAAGTAATGTGGAATAAAATTGTTGGGCAAACAAGGAAAATGGAATTTGTCAGAACCAAATGGCTTCCTTAATATACATGTTGTTATGAAAATGGTAATGGACGGGGATGAGTTGTTGTGCCGAAACTGAAAATTTATTCCTTTGTAGATTGAATGGAGTGTGAGGGGAGGTTCTTTAAGAAACATTGAGTCTGCTCGGGTGTCAATACCTTCCACATTAAAGTATGATGATTCAAAGAAATGGTAAGTATTTTAGTAACTGCTCTTTTAAAATTCCTGTTAGCAAATTCTGATAATTTATCCACTCCCATGATCCATTGTTGTATTCCTTTAGTCAAGTCTCTGTTAATCTTAGTCCTGTACATAACAGGCACAGTTTTGGTATTGTTCTGCAGTTACATATATAGAGCACGACTTGAAGAAACAGAACAATATTGGAAGAGCTGGTATGTTCAAACTACTTGTTAATCCATTTAAAATTTGGCAAATGGTCAGGGTCCATGTCACTACATGTTGTGCGTATTTCAGTTGAAACCAGACTTGCCGGCATCTATGTAACATTTATGGGTTGGAACATTTCATTCTGCATACTTGTGTACAGTTTTCTTGTTTGGTTGCTGCATCAAGAATGTAGCATGGCTTGCTTCTTGTTACAACCTGTTCATATGACTGATTCAGGGTGCTTCTGTAGGAAACACTTTCAGTAGAAGCATTTAGGAAATTTCTATAAAAAATCACCTGGTGCTTCTCCTGAAATCACTGAAAGTGCACAACTTAGAAAGCATTTTAAAATTTCTATTAAAGGCTATCAAAAATACTTTTGGCTATCTGAAAGCTCTTTTAGAACTTCGAGAAGCCTTGCCGAACAGGCCCACATACCAATATTGTTCAGATTTACACTAGTTGGGTTTGGATAGAGGAGTTAGAGATGTAAATGAAACTGCATCACTTTGAGCTATCCTTATGTCTCATAATATTTGATAGCCATGGTAGCATAGTGATAAAACTCATTTAAGTATCATACATGGAGATGCTTTTACTCATTGTGATTGGTTTGACTTTTGTGTCATAAATCATTTCCTGTTGAATATATTTACTCAAATACAGGTATGAAGGCCTTTCAGAAAAGTTTTTGTCATCTCCCGTTCCAAAGATCCTGCTGTTAGCTGGAACAGACCGACTAGACAGGTTCTTTCCATTTGACTTGCCAGAATAATCTGCTCATATAGTTTAAATGAAATCATTTTCTTTGATAAAAAGTATCAGTATGATGCTGTCTAATCATATCGATTTTGTGATGACACAATCTTTAGAGATGTTCTATGTTATCACACTTTGACTGTTTGCAGATGGTATGCACATTAACACTTTTATGGCATGCATAGCGGTTTATGATTTGGGTCCCACTATAGGTTTAATTTTTGACACGTGACAAACTAGGAAAGGAAATCTTCATGAATGGGAGGGCATCTACTTTTAACGTTTTGCATACACACAAACAGATAAGCAATTTCCTCACATTGTCTTACCAAGAGGAATTGTGTAATTCATAAAGTGTATTTTTGGGTCGAAAAAGAGAAAGATTTGAGGTTTGTTGAAACTTGTATACAAGTGTGTTGGAAAATTTCATAAATTACTGAAACGATTGTAATTTCCCTTTTTTTCGTATTAAAATAAAAAAAATGTGGAAAACCTTCAAGTCCATATTTGTGATATTGTCTTGTCAAATGCTCTTATTGGAGTTAAGTATCCACTTTATTTTGCATGCTATACGCGGTATTTGATTACACAATATTTTGATATTACTTGCTGCTATGTGACTATCCTTGTGTAAACATATCATACAAACACAATGTTATAGCACTGATCAGCTGGTTAGGTAGATAACCTTATATTTGTGAACTGCGTGTAAGTGATAAATTTTGGCACTTCCATGCTAATGGAATATTTCTATTTCCTTGGTTATCTTTTGTGTGTGCTTGCTTGCTATGATCTAATTTATTTGGGTCAAGAACCATGACTGCTTTCAAGGAATGATGTAGGCTGGGTTTTTCTTTCTTTTGTTGCAGAGCTCTGACAATTGGCCAAATGCAAGGGAAGTTCCAAATGGTTGTCATCAGACATACCGGGCATGCCATACAAGTATGTATTCTGTTTATCTTCCATGGATTTTTTTTGTCTTCTAAAAAATTACTCTTTATAATCCGTAGAAGCTAACTAGAGCTTTGATGTCCCATATTTTTGCAGGAAGATGTTCCTGATGAATTTGCAATGCTAGTAACTAATTTTATATCCCGTAATCGCATAGGCCCTCGTGGAGTTGAGGTATGCACATCCTGATAGAAAGTATAATTTATAATTATAACATATGGAGATATGTTGTATTTGGTATTTTTGATTCGTGAAACTCTTCTGATTCCTTCAAAATTCAGAGTCCCACCCTTAAATACGTTCGTCCAGTCCAGGAGCCACATATGGACACTTTTTAGCCCTTAGCTAACCACCATCTAATGGTTGTGAATACGTCTGACGTTCAGAAAATAAATTAATAAATAATTTTCTTTGTACGAGAGAATGCTCTACATGTGAATCTCCCTCTTCCTCTCATTTGACTCAACTCTCCTCTTCCTCAAATCACCTACACTTACTCTTCTCTCTTGGACTCTTCCCTTCAAAACCATCCAAGAAACATAGGCTTCAGAATGAAAAACAATAGGATAGCTTGCTTAGGTCATACAAAGAAGGACAAAGTGCCGTTGGCTGCTCTTAGTTACATACTCAAGACTGACGTTTAAGCTGCTACAAACACTGCAATTAATGGCAATGCTTCTATCCGCAGACATTTACTTAGGCTATATCCTTTTTCTTAGGACCAAGAAACTCTTATAAGCATAGGAAATGCTAATTGGTTACATCAAGGCTCATCTTTAAGTCCTTACCTTTTTGCATTGATAATGGATGAGTTAACGGGACATCTTCAAAATTATATTCCTTTGTGTATGCTTTTCACAGACGATATAATGTAGATGAAACTTAATGAGTAAATGCGAAACTTAACCTTTGGAGAGAAATGTTGGAATCTAAAGGTCTTCGCCTAAGTCGGTCAAAGATAGTATATGGAGTGCAAGTTCAGTGCGAACAGAGGCTCAAATAACTTAGAGGTGAGGATTGGAGATCAGGAAGTACCAAATAGTGACCACTTTCGCTACCTAGATTCTATCTTGCAAAGGAACAGAGAGTTGGATGGAGACCTCAACCATAGAATACAAATTGGATGGATGCATCTGGTGTGTTGTGCGACTGTCGTATGCCACTAAAGCTTAAGGGAAAATTTTATAGGACGGCAATAAGGCCAGCAATGCATTACAACATGGAATGTTGGGTGGTGAAGCACCAACACGTACATAAAATGAGTAGCGAAGATGAGAATGCTTCGTTGGATATATGGGTAAATGAGAAAGGATAAGATTAGGAATGAGGATATTTGAGGTAAAGGAGGAGTAGCCAAAATTGAAGGAAAGATGAGAGAAAATCGGTTACAATGGTTTGGACATGTAAAACCAAGGCCTACTAACGGTCTGATTAGAAGATGCAACTACGAGACAAAGGTTCAGGGCCGAAGGGGTAGAGGAAGATCTTTAAAGAGACTCTAAGAAAAGAATTGGAGTACTTGAATCTAATAGAAGACGTGACACAATACCAAGCGCAATGGCGTTTTAGGATTTATACAGTCGACCCCATTTAGTGGAAAAGACTTTGTTGTTGTTTTATTTGACGAAATTCGTATAATATGATGCATAAAAAATGGGAATTTGCAGGTTCATATCTATTTTAATAATGATCAACTGATGCTTAGGTCTCTTTTTGGTACTAAATCGTGCCATGTCCTTTGAGGTATAATTTATGGGTCTGTTTGCCGGCGTTTTAACATCATATGTTGTGTTGCAGATTCCAGGACTCCGTCGGCCATCCCAGCCCAAACCTTGAATCAAAAGTTCCGCGAATCAATAGTGGCTTTCGGGTTCTATTTGCATTTTTCTTTTGGGGAATGTTGTGGGAAGGCATCTCAATTGACAAAAATGATAATCGTCACTTGAGTTACAGATGTATAGCAGTTAAGGAAATGTTTGAAGTGTGGGTTTAGAATAAAGCAATTTTCGAGCAAAGACATTAGAAACCGGTAACATTCCTTCAGAAATAAAAGTGCGATTTCTAGCAAAGAAGCTAATCTGCATGCTATTTTACTTTTGTACATTCAATGGGTGAAAACGCAGAAGTCGAGTTCTCAATTTTCTCACTTATACTGCATGCTATTTTGCTCTTGGACAGTGTGCTCAAGTACCTTGAACCCAGAGGCATGTGGGTCAAAGTGCGCACAACGAGGTCATGCGTTGAGCACAGAGCGAGCGATTTCTTTTCCTTTCAGTGAAATGCTGTGCGTGTGAGTTGGTATTATAATCTAGTAATATTCATATTTTCTCATAAGTGAGGTTTTAAGTTCGATACTCGCCAAAGATGAATTTTGACCATATTATTACTAGCCTATTATGAAACTCAAGCAACTACTATACTCCTTTAGTGTAAATAGTTTGTTCAAAAAAAAAAAAAATCATGCATGTAAACGTCGATTTAGAGCCTAACCTCCCTTATTTGAGAGAGCAACGGGTAAAATATTGACCCAAGCAAACAAATTAAGAGTGACCAGCAAGAGTAGCGACCATTATAAGTTGTTGCTACACACTTTACGAATGTAGCAGTAAATTTATCATCAGGAAAACTGGCATTTTGGCCAAATTCACAGGATATAGTCACAGCTTCTAAATTGAATTGAATGTTGCGTTGCCAATTACAGCAACCTCTTCCTACAAACACAAAAAGCAAGCTAGACATGCAAACAAGAATTGCAGACCCGAACGGCCCTTTTAAGATTTATTGGCAAAAAAATAGTACTATCCGCCTTGTGTGAAGTTACCACCTCCATATACTGCAAAATGGGAATCGAGGACTAGGAAAATGCAAAGGTTTAAGCAGTCGATTGCTTCAAATATGCAATGAGATCAGCACGGTCCTGTGGCTTCTTCAGACCAGGGAACACCATCTTAGTTCCGGGAATGTACTGCATAACAACAATTACACCGGATCAGTCTACAATATGGATTGTCCGCATCAATGAACTATCACTACCTAACACATGCAACGGGATCCTACATCATCTACACAGAACCTGAAATATCATGAAACGTTCTAAGATCTTGAAAGAACAATGAATTTACGTAGAATTATAAATGAAGAGATAGTCGCAGTCTAAGAATAAAAGAGTGCTGATGTTCAGACCCATACACTTCCACCCGTCCTTTTATGTGAGAGGTACCACCTATACACATTTTATGCACCGTGTATATCTCAACTATTTTTTTTCTATCACTGAGCTCACCTACATGTCAGCATGAATGATTGATAGGTGATGATCTATGTCTATCTCTAATGCTAGTATGAACCTAGCTCTAAGAAATCGCGTCAGTCATGAGGAACAACAAATAGAGAAAATTGCATACCTTCTTGGGGTTCAACAAGTAATCATACAAGGTCTTTTCCTCCCAAATCACAGCCATGTTCTTGTTAGCAGCAGAGTATGAGTATCCAGCACCTGTACCAGACTGCCTCCCGAAAAGTCCATTCAGATTAGGTCCTGAAAGTTTTAACAATCGAAAGTTAACAACTTTAATAAACTCAAATTGAACTGAAACTTAGCAAATAATGCATGTAGAAATCCAATAGATTGAAAAACAGAGCAATCGAGCTAGTTCGCATAAACGCCAAAGTATAAACACAAGATCATACAATCACCAAGCTCGTCACATCAATCTAACGAATCATATATAGTGCCCCTATATACTGAGTAGCATCAAAACTTTCTATATATACAAAATCCCAGAGCATAGATACTCCTAAAGATCTAACATAACTTTTCCTCCCACAAGTTGCGAATTAACAATCATAGAAACGGAAAGGAAAGTTGATGAATTTATGAATTACTTGCACAAACACAAATAACTTGTAACCGAAATCCAAAAATCAAATACAAGAAAGGAAGATTGATAATATTAGACCAATCATTTTAAACCTAAAAACTGCTAGAACCACTCATTTCCGATGGTGTAAACCAACATCAACTGAAATCCTCGCTTTCGTCAATTTTCTCAGAAACCGAACAAAAAACTATATAAATTGGAAACACGAATAACCCAATAACGAAATCGATCAGATCGGGCAAAGATCAATCCGTAATCCAAACAACCAAATCGAAACAAAAATCAAAATACACAAATCCGAAAACCAAATGCAAATAAGGAGCTACAATTGTCAGTTACAAACAAGATCAAGAAAATAATCCAAATCAATCACCAAACAAAAAGGAAAAACGAGGTTTGGTGAGCGAGAGAGATGATAAGATTACCCTGCTTGTGACCGGCGCCTTTCTCGACAGTATGGCACTGGGCGCACTTGGTCTTGAAGATTTTCTCTCCGGTCTTTGCATCTCCGGGTGGAGCTTCGGCGAACGACGCCATTTCCCGAGAAATCTGGAGAGAGAGAGAGGTTAGGGTTAGGGTTTGCAGACGAGAGATTTTGATTTGGTCACAGAGGCGCACCGCACCCAACGTTCTCCAATTTATTTATTTTCCGCAGATTCTTCCTGACGAAGAAGCGTGGGAAACGTGCTGTGCCGCAGGCCCAAAGGCTTTAGACGGGGCGAGTGGACCAGATTCTTCTTTGCCCCTCAGGCCTTTTCACATTGAGCGAAAAAGGGCGAGTCTTCCGACGGAATGCACTTTTCCCCGCACCGATAAATTCGATGTGCCGTTGCTATTTTTTTCCAATTCAGGATTATGTTTACATAGTATTACGGTTTAATAATATTTTTTTTATTTATAAATGAAAATGTCTTAAATTTGATTTTCTTTAAAAACGAATTTGAACTATATTATTGCTAAGTAGACTAAATTTTTACATCAAATTTGCAAACTAAATGATGTGGTAATTGATGATTAAATTATTACTTAAGCGTTGATTAACGTGTTTATTTTCTATTAATGATACATAATTTGGTTTGTAAATTTAATTTAAAATTTGATATTCCTAGCATTATCAATTTAGAATTGAGTTCGGTATCATTTGAACTTTGTTATATATAGAAATTGAAAATGTTCTGTTTAGTTTTTCATTTGCTTTATTTGTGTTCGGGTTATCTACCAAAAAAAAAAAAAATTCTTTGAGAAATTTTATTTGAAATGAAATCTCTTTCTACACCCAACTTAACCTTTAAATGTGAATTGTCTTCTTTACTCTATTTTTATAATTACCATTAAATACAAAATGAAATTAACAATAAAACTAAAATTTATCAATAAACACATATTCAATAATCAAACATTTACCATAACGCAATCATTTTCGAACGTTCTATTTGGCTAAAACCCTAAGCCGAGAGCAAGCTCTTTTTTTTACGAATGAATGGTAACTTTGAAGTTTTGAACCTTTCAACTAAGTTATGAATTGATTTATATAAACAAATGAACCCTCGTACACCATTGAAGGCTAGTGAGCCAAATAAGTAGTTTTATCATGCCCTATATGCTGTTGTAAAATTGCTTGTCTAAAGCTGTAGTTCATTCTATATATAAACGAATGAACTCATTTCAATTAAGAGCTGGATGTGGTCAGCAAAAAATATGAAGCAAAAGGATGGTTTCATTATGGATGATTCAATCTAGTAGCCTTATCGCAGTAGCACCAGATTCAAACCGCTAAGGGAAAATGACAGACCGATAGTAGAATGTCAGATGAGGGAACATATGTTTTGATTTTGAGTTTTTTTTATAAATTGGTGTAAAAATAAATTTACATTATGAGGGTAGTTTAGAAAGTAAACTAGGGTTTAAAGAGATATTAATAGCTTAATTGGAAATAAGATGGATGTAGAGAGTAAGCTGGGTGTAAAGAGATGTTATATAGGTTCGAATAAAATTATCCATAATCATTTGGCTCATTTACATGAAACTTTTATTAGCACTTTAAATTTTTTATATTGCCTATTTATAAGTGTATTTTTCTTTTTGAATATAAAAAATTTAGAGTTCAAATGAGAATTTTAAAGTGCTAATAATAATTATTTATTTATATTCAAAATTTTATTTTTATTTATTTTTATTTTTTTAACATCTGTTTTTCAAACTTGACAAAGGATGATTAGAGAAATGCTTTTGCAAATTTTGGTTCAACGAAGAAGAATTGAGGAAAAAGTAGGGAGAGTTTCACCCAGCTTATCCCATGTTTATTAAGTTATACGGAAGAGGATCCTCTCTAGATCTATTTTGTAGGGATCTACGTTCTAACCGTTCATCATACATTATGCAACAATCTTCGTCAGAAGCTATTGTGTTTAATTTTAAATTAAAAAAAGTCAAATAATTTTTTACCTCATGATATACGATAAATAACTAAGATGGGGAATCCCCAGGATCTCTATAAAGTAAATCCGAATGGGATCCAATTCCAAGTTACACCACCTAACTTGCTAATTAACATGGGCTCAATGTATATTAGGATTTGGTGTGGCGCTGCACCCAGCTTATTCCACTTTGCCAATGTTTATTATACCACATGTTTCACACCATTATTTCTCTTAAAATTTACTATAACTTTATACGAGTTTCAAAAAATATTTTGTAAAATATTAATAACTCGTAATCACTTAAATTTTCATTTTGTACTATCAAATTCATTAAAGTACTAAACAATTTAATCAATGGTTTTATATATTATGTTTTATATGATAAATATCTAACATTTCTAGCCAACAAACCATGGAGTTCATATGAATGAATAGTAGGCGTAATTCTCAATACATATGGTAGTGCAAGGGGAGAATTGCGGGTATTGCCACAGGAGAGGGTTTGCCAGTGACCGTAGCATGGGCCTTGGGACTTAATATAGGAGGACTACGCCCTGTGACCGTAGCAAAACCTGAGCTTTATACCATGGGTTGGAACTGACCTGGGCTGAAGTTCTATATACATAGATAGATACGCTTTCACATCTTCTTAACCGGAAAACGACTAACCCCCCACCTATGCCTCTAGGTGCTAGACCCCTCACAACTGCCTGATTAAAGACTAGAGATTTTAAAAATATTGTCTACGACAGAAGATTATCTCTATTTCTAACTAATTCGTTTATTCTAGATGTTGAGAAGTTGGAACCAATGTCCCCATCTCAAAGGAGTGTATAGAGAGTTTCATAAATCTCGGTGTGCATTTGAAATTTTTTATACGTAAAAGAAAAATACACTTTTGAGAGAGAAGTACAAGTGGCTTCTTACCACAGTGGTGAAAAGGTGTTGAACCCTTGTATGACGGCATGAGTTCGAATTCCGTCTGTGGCTGATTTACTATCTAATCTAATAAAAAGTATTGTTTGACAAGAAAAAATTATAAAAGAAAAAAAAATTAACTATTTACATGGATTTAGAGTCATTCGCGAATTGAGACATGATGTTTCAATCTTCGCATATTGGTGAATGTGCCAATTCTCTCTAATTGCTCAACTTTTCCAAATTCTTTAAATTCAAATTCTAATTGAATACATTCTTTAAATTCAAATTTTAATTGAATACATTCAGAATTATAAGGATTTTAATAAACTATCTTAAAATCCTGATTGAATAAACATTGAATTTCAGAGAATCACTTAAAATCATTTTTGAATACCCCTAAATTCATTAAAAGAATTAAAATCTATCGAAATCCCAATTGAATACATCCGACAATTCAGGAAAAAAAAAAAAGAAATTTCAGGGCTCATTTGCAAATAACCCAAAATTATGGTGGCGAAAATGCAGTTTACTAAAATAAAAATTGAAACCCAAGCCAAACCCACTTCTGAAAATCTGGCGGACTCCACAGTTCACATCCCAACACTAAACCCTGCTCCTCTGGCAGCTCTTCCCTGTCCCCGTCGCGAGCTCAGTCGGTGTTCACCTTTAACATCCTACCACCATGAAAATATTCAGGCGTTTCTCCAACCCTCACAATCTCGACTCTCTCTTAGTACAATCCACACCCCCATTTCATTCCCCCATTGTTCCTCCCAAAACCCTAGTCTCACACGAGCCCTCTCCTCCTGGCAATTTCTCCAATTCAAATCTGCCCCACACAGAAGCTGCTTTCTCCTCTCTGAGTTCCTTGATTTCCTTATTTGGGTCAACCCCATCTTCTCAAAATTCCCAATCTTTGCTGACTATTTACTCACTCAAGCATCAATGTCACGGACGCGTTCAGCCATTTTCCACTGCGCCTTCCGATGTGTTCGAATCTTCCTCACCGCCAGGAGCTTCGGGTTCCGATGAGGGTAATCGATTTGGGAATGTGGGTATTGATGGGATTCGACCGGATGAGACTTCAAATCAAGTTTTGGAAATTATTGATATGATCAGAATGGGTGAGAATGATTTGAAGTCCAAGTTGAATTCCATGAATGTAAGTCTATCTTCTGCCTCCATTACTCGGGTTTTCGAGGTTTTGAATTCTGAAAAGGTACCTGCTTTATGTTTCTTTGATTGGATTAGGGATTCACAACCCATTGGTAGTTATGGGAATGAAATATGTAGCTTGGTTATTGATAATTGTGGGCGGGTAGGTGATTACCCTGCAATGCTTCAGATTTTGAAAGACTTTCAATCGGAGGAAATTCGTCTCACCCAAAAGGCATTTGGGTTTATATCTTCAAATAAGGCTTCTGTTGTCAAAGTGGTAGAGGTTTTGAATAAAGTTGGTGGACTGTGTCGGGCAACTGGAGTGCTTTCTTTGATTGAGATGTTTAGTGTCAAGGGTTTATTTGAAATGGCTGAGTTTGTGATGAAGAAAACAGAGAGGAAGAGATGTTATTACATTATAATGGTCAGAGAAACTTGTCGGAGAAGAAATTTTGGCAGAGCTGTTGATATGCTTGATGAGATGAGGCTAGTGGGGTGTGACCCAGATGCCAAAACTTACAATTATCTGCTCAGTAGCTTATGCAAGAACTATAAATTTGCTGAAGCTACTAAACTGTATGAAGAAATGCTAGAAAGGAATTGTCAACCTGATGGCATAACCTATGAAATATTTATTTGTTACTTATTTAAAGTTGGAAATCTTGATTTTGCAAGACAGTTATTTGATAGAATGATATTGGAGGGCATTAAACCTCGCATTTCAACACATGCTGCCTTTGTCAAGGGTTATTTTAACTTGCGGAGATATAAGGAAGCATATAATTACGTTGTTGATTTAGCTGCTAAAGACAGTGGCTCGAGCAGTTCAGTGTACAGCTTGCTTGCAAGGCTTTATATGAAGGAAGGAAATGCAGTTGTTGCCCAAAATATTCTGACCGAAATGATTAATAAGGGTTTTAGACCAGATTATTCAGTGTATGTGAGAGTTTTGAAACGGCTGTCCAAGTCAGGCAGAGGTGGTTTGGCTGAAGATTTGGAAAGCAGGTTCTCTAGTCTAGCAGGAACTGAATAATGTATTCCAGAAAACGCGTTTGCCTTGTTTTCATGTAGTTTGCCTTCTGGTGTATGTTTGACTGTTTGTTCTTTTCCAGTTGAAGTGGTGAAATCTCCTATTATCGAACCTCCAATTGTTGAAGTGATACTCAAGAGCATTTTTGCTAGATTTAATACAAATCAGTTGAACTTTCTGGTAATTTTCCTCAACGATTTCATGTTGCTATGCAGGCTATAAGAATAAAAACATTCTATCTCCATATTTCTTGGTGTGTTGGACTTGAGTTTCCAAAAGAAGAAAAGGTAATGCATTTTGTTGTCTCTCTGTTTTTATTTATTTATGGAGTTTCCATTGTTTGGCTGGCATTCTTTTTAGAATACTAGAAATGTAGCTAGAAAGACCTTAGCCCCCAGCGTTACATGTACTCTTGGTGAAACTAAGGACAACAGGCAGAGGAAGCTGTTTAGGTTGTGTTAGTCAACACCCTCGTCAGTTACACTTTTGCTTCTCATATGTAATTTTTTGTGCAATTTTAAAATATTTTCAACACTTGGGCTCATGCCTCACTTGGGTTTCAGAAGATTCAAGTGCTGTTGAGTCCTTAATTAGTTGCATACGTGAGAAATATCGCTACTTTCAAGAAAATATGTTTCGACATCTTGCTACTTGCTACAAATAATTTTTTTCTGCTTTTAGCAGAAAAAAATTGCATATTTTCTTTCGTGTCAATAATCTTGTACATGTTTGTGTTCATCTTATGGATGTACTGTAAAGTACCTGGGGGCTTGGTCATTGGCCAGTTTGAAGTCCTTGGCAGAGCTTTTAAATGCAATTCCACACTATCGACAAAGAAACCTATGCAAAGGAGAGCAGAATTGGTTGCAATATTAGGCAGATTGAGGAGTGATCGTCCGCTGATTCCAATTGGCTTAGTAATATGATGATTTCTGTTCTATTCTCAATGCATCTTGAGCCATTCATTTTCAGTGTCTAACATACATTCATGTAATGTGATCGCGAGTCTAGAAACTTTGGATAGTTTGTTTAGTATTTGCAACACAGTGAAAGAAGTCGAGTTCTATCTTTTACCTTTTGAATATTCCTCTTTTATAGGTGCACTTGAATTGTATGCTATCTATTTTTGCTCGCAATTTCAGTTGGATTATTGTTGAGTGGAGGGAGGAACTGAGGAAAGGAAGGCAGAGATTGTTCCAGGTGTTCTCTTTATTGATGAGATGCACATGCTCGACATTGTGTCCTTTGCATTTTTGAACCGAGCTTTGGAGAATGGGATGGCTTCGATATTAGTTGTTGCTACCAACAGAACTACCACCAGAGGCACAATTATAAATCCCCACGCGGAATCTCTGTTGATCTCCTTGATCGCCTGCGTATTGTTGCCACCCATCCTTATACAGAGGATGAAATCCATAAGATTTTGGAAACCAGATGCCAAGAAGTTGAAATGTCGGAAGAGGCAAGGCATTTGTTGACCAAGATTGGTGTTGATGCATCCTTGTGATATGCTATCCATCTCATAACAGCTTCTGCGTTATAAATGTGATGACACGTTCATCATCCTGCTGCATGAGCCCAATTGATCTTGTATGGGACAGTAGTCACCACGGCTTTCGAGAGTTCAAGTCCCGGCTTACCATCTCGAGTCTACACAGAAACTCGGAGCTGCAACAATGCAGACACCGAGAAACAATGAGTCATCTGGACAACAACAACAAAGCCTTATTCTACTAAGTGGAGTCGGTTATATGAAGTTTTATCCCACTAAGTCATCTATATATACAAAAAAAAAAAAAATATAATTAGTGAGTTTGCAAGAACAAGACAACGATGGGGAAGGGAAAGTAAACAAGAGGACATTAGATTAGATAGCAAGTGAATTAGAGGTATGGTGCGTTGGTTCCCTTCAAGTATGTGGAAGGGTGGGGTGGGGTGGGTGGATGGAGTCTCCTCACTTTGTGAGGGTCAGGGGGCGGAAGGAGAGAGAACTTTCATCGCATGCAGCCTTACATTTATTTTATAAAAGGAATATTTTTACGACTTGAACCTGTGATATTTCAATTACAAAGGAACAACCCTTCTCTTGTGTCAAGTATAATAACCTTTTTCTAACCAAACATAATAAGATCTTGCGTGTTTTGTTAACATTCATAGGGAGTTGCGGTGCAAAGTAACTTTTTTAAAGTACACGTCACAATATGACGTGGCGCCTAGCTAGTCTGTTTCTAAGGTCCATCTTAGCAACAAGTTAGCATGCTAAATTTATCGATAATTCAACCATCCAAACTTGTAAATTTGGTAGCATCATGGATAACTTTTAACCACAACTCTGTTCCAGTTCCCAAGTACCAATGTCCTGATATACTAATAAATGCACTATGGTTTCACCGTACATCCGAAGCTGACAAAGTTCGCTACTTTATAAGAATCGGGTAGAATGTCTATCGTAGTCAATCTTAGCTTTACGTGGATCGGGTGGAACGTCTATTGTAATCAATCTTATTCTTATTTTACAAAGAGACTATTTTCATGACTCGAACCGTGTCATAAAAAACAATATTCATGTTTCACTGCGCATCGATGACAACACATTTTTCAAGTAATTACTTTTTAAAGAAAAACAATAAAACTTTTAATGACATCCATTTACAGAAATTCATCGCTGCGCCATCCTTTAAGGAGAATCGGCTAAAGACAATCCACCACTCACTAAATCCACATCTCTCTTTTTGGACTTTCCTTGCTAGTTACGATATGGGAGGGGGAGAGCATGAAATCGCTTTAGAGGAGGCACTAATATCTTCCACGTTGAGAAAGCAAAGGCTGCAGGAAATGGAAGGGAAATGGACGGAGTTCCTGAAAGAGCTTAAGAAGGTGAGCTACATGGCAGCGCCGATGGTGGCTGTCATGGTGATGCAGTACCTTATACAGGTTGTTTCCGTGATGATGGTTGGACATGTCGATCAGCTCTCTCTTTCCGGGGTCTCCATCGCCACCTCTTTCACTAGTGTTACTGGCTTCAGTCTTCTTGTAAGTCCCTATCTCTTTTTTCTCCTTTAAGTGCAATCCCTGCATCCTGTTCATATTGATATTAATATCTTGTGCTCTAGCTCCTTGCATTTTTAAACAGCTAGCTTCAAATTTCAGTGAAAAAGTAAATGAAAAGGTTACCAAGGGTTTAGAAGATACTATCGTAACCAAATTATTACTAATCTATTGTGTGACATAGCTCTAACTCGTCCTCTACTACCGATATCATCGTGCAAAAAAAATAATAATTTCAGACTATGGATGTAAGGATATAATCCCAAAACAATTTTTTTACATCGTGTCAATCAAACGATTTGGACCACATTTAACCAAAAAAAAAAAAAACCACTAGACCGCAATTAACCTTTCAAACCAATTCCATTTGTTGGGGTGAAAACCTTTTTTTTCAGTGACATTTAAAGTTTATTTAGATTATCCAAATTTATTTTTCAAAACATTTTAACTTACACATATTTAAATTCCAATAAAGAATGAAAATTCACTAAATCTACCTCATCCTTACACATGCACGACATGAAAGAACATGACAAACCAAACAACCTACCCCATTCTTAAACACAAACGCATAAAATGGGTAGAAAGAAAAAAAATGGAAGAATTGTATGACGAAAGCAAAATTTGTGTGGATGTTTGAACAAAAGTATAGGTATATAGAGTTTTTTGGTGAATTTTGTTTTTTTAGTTGTTTGAGCCGTTGAATTTAATTTTGGACTATTTAGATCTTTATTTTTTACTACTAGATTTGATCATATTCGATCTGAGCCACTTGGCCGGTCCGATAAAAAAATAGTCGTTGGTATTCCACAAGTGGCCGACAATGACAGCAACTGTGTCTCGGTCACTATCCTGCTCATTTTTTGGGCTAAAAATAAGTTTTAACACAAAACCTTTTTTTAGCCCAATGATTAGAGAAACTTTGAGAGGTGTAGGACTCAAATTTTGAGTTTTAACCCAACCACTGAAGTGGGTCTTAGATAGATTTATTACATTTTCATCCAAAAACTGTGCAATGATACGAGTTGCCCGGAGAAATCGTGTTCTACAAGCTGGAAACTCAAATATGTTGATAAAATCATACATTTTTCTTTTGGCTCAATTGTTACTTAGTCGTCAAGAGACCTTAAGTTACTCATGATATGTAATTAATCTTTGAAAATGTTGCAGTTTGGTCTAGCTGGTGCACTGGAGACTCTGTGTGGACAAGCATATGGGGCACAGCAATATCAAAAGCTTGGAATTCATACTTACACCTCCATCCTATGTCTCTGTCTCGTCTGTCTCCCAATATCACTCCTATGGGTATTCACAGACAAAATTCTAAATTTGATAGGTCAAGATCCTTCAATCTCCAAAGTAGCACACAAATACTCAGTCTGTCTCATCCCTAATCTTTTCTCTTACGCCATTCTTCAATCGCTCATCCGGTATTTCCAGACGCAGAGTTTGATTCTTCCGATGTTGTATAGCTCAGGTGCAACTCTGTGTTTGCATATACCTCTTTGTTGGGCTTTCACCCTTAAACTGAACTTAGGAAGTGTTGGAGCAGCGTTAGCAATAACCTTCTCTTACTGGTTTAATGTGATTGTACTCGGGTTTTACATGAAGTATTCGGTGGCATGTGAAAAGACTCGTGCTCGTGTGCTTTCAGTAGAAGTCATTCGAAACGTTAAAGAATTCTTCTGCTTTGCTACTCCATCAGCTGCAATGGCTTGGTAATCAATTCTTCTTTTCTTCCTCTTTCTAACAAGATAGTAGTATTGGGTTTCTTATGCCCGTGCCCGCACGCACGCCTTTCAGACGTATATAACAAAAGTTTTCACCAGTCAGATTGTAAATCTGAACCATTATTAATCAGATTCTTAAGTTCATGAATATGACTCTTGAACAACCTAAATGCAGCAAGAAAATTACCCTAGCACGTTTACTGGAATAGGAATTGGAATCATTATGATTGTTAAGTTCCTTGGGCCTACTATAACATGGGTGTTGAAATGACTTCAGTTTCTAACTTCCCATGTTATCAATACATACGCAATCGGAAAAAGTGTGGATTTCCCCCTTAAACTCCGTAATTTAACACATAAAAATCAATAATCAAATCAACTGAAGAGGGTAGTAGATTCGATTCCCTTTCCTTACTTCCTCTATTTCATGTTAGCAAGCATGCAGATACATGTATTCAATTCCCTGTTGGCCTTTTTTTCTATTTGACATGGTACACATTTGTAGTCTTGAATGGTGGTCCTATGAGGTGCTCATTTTGCTTTCTGGGCTATTAGCAAATCCGAAACTGGAGGCATCAGTGCTTTCTATATGGTATGTTTCCTTCATAATTATCTCATGTCTTCGACGTTTTGAAGATTATGCAGCATGCTAATGGTTTTTCATTTCCACGGAGTTTGAGCAGCTTTACAATTACTTATTTGCACTACTACATACCATATGCTTTTGGAGCCACAGCAAGGTATGCTCTTAACCTGATCCTGATAACTGACAAAGAAAATTTCAATTCAAATTCGTACCTACATTGTTTTCCAAGAATACTCTTTGCTGATTTTGTAGCACTAGGGTTTCAAATGAGTTAGGAGCTGGGAATCCTCGCGCTGCTAAAGTTACAGTCTGTGCTATTACGGTTCTTGCAATCGTGGAAATGATTGTTGTAAGCACAACTCTTTTCTCTTACCGCCATAATCTCGGATATGCATTCAGCAAAGACAAGGAGGTTGTGGAGCGTATAGCAGATATGGGTCTTCTTATTAGTCTCTCCATTGTTATGGATGGGTTACAAGCACTACTTTCAGGTTTGTTTCCCAAACTTCACTTCAATTCCTTCTTTAGAGGGTCACTGGTGCCTGTAGGAACTAGAAAAAAGAGAGACCGATATAAAATTGTGTTCTGCCAAGGCTCCGGGCTCACATATCACGTACGGAGTCTGGCGCAGTGCACTAGATGTATCTCTTGCATTTCAGCCGTATTTTAAACATTCATATAAAGCCTCTGAAATCTAGGAGACACGCTCATGACGGTTGATTTTGTATCAAATTAGGGGTTGCTAGAGGAACAGGATGGCAGGAGATAGGAGCTTATGTAAATCTGGGGGCATATTATTTGGTTGGCACTCCGGTGGGTGTAGTGCTTGCCTTTGTTGTACACTTGAGAGCCAAGGGCCTATGGATTGGATTATTGACAGGGTCTACTGTTCAGGCTCTCCTGCTTGCTCTTAAAACTGGTCTCACAAATTGGCAAAAGCAGGTTCAAGCTCTCTTTCACCAACTATTTTTGCGTGACTACACATACTCACAACACTTATTCAGTATAGTTCACCAATCACGCAGCTGATTATTTTCTCGGCACGGCAGAAGCAATTTTATCATCGCAACAATGTCAACCTTGCCCCAAGTATGATATGTTAATTAATTAAGCTCATGTGGAATGATGCAGGCTTCACTTGCAAGAGAGAGGATGCTGAAAGAGGTCGTACCTATAGTGGAATCAGTTGGATAAGAGAGAAGGAACAGAATATGAATATATATATATATATATATATATATGTATGTATATAATCTCCAAAAAGAGGGGAAGAGTTAACATATACTCATACAGTTTCAGGATTAATTCATGAGGATCGAGGAGCATCTAGCAAGTTTCTATATAAAGGAAATATCCACGTTTTATTCATGAATATATCATCATAAATGCGTACGACACCATTTTAATGATCTAGATGAATGCTGTACTCTTTTTTCCTTTGCTTTAGTTGTCCCACTATGTTTTTCAAGTAAAGGTTTAACAAGGCAACAATATCTTTTCTGTGATAGAGATGAAAGTCCAACACAAAATCTAATCTCTTTTTCTTTAACTTTATTCTAAGCATGAAGGAATTCTTCCGGTTTGCTATTCCTTCAGCTGTAATAACCTGGTAATCAACGTATGTTTTCTTCCCCTCTACAAGAAAATTATGGTCTTGGTTTTCCTTAGTTACACCCCCCACGCAAACACTCATATAGCGAAGTGTCCTGTTGGCAGACTGTAAACATAGACCATTGATTGGCTATTTCTTTCATGAATATGTGGTGGAATATAGTTGAAAATAAAGGGTTTAGGATAAATTTAAAATTATTCTCTACAATCTCACACTTCTCAAATACAACATCAATACTTTATTCTTCTCCATAAGGAGGTCTTTATAAGAAAACAAAGGAGCAATAATAGGAAATAAACCAAAACAATCATTGGTCTACAAGACAAGGAAACTTAGACCAAATCAAATCATATCAAAACCCTAATTAAATCATATAAAATCACTAATTAAATCAAATCACTAAAATATTTTCCTTTTTATTTTCCAACACCCGAAAACTCATGATGTGAAATCAAGAGTTTACCAAGAAGGAAATCTTCATTGATATGCTAAAACTAACGCCAATCTTTTCGAAAGCTCAGCAAATCACAATTCGTCTAAACTAACGCATCTTTTTGAATGCCCAGCTAGAGTTAGCACCAATCTTTTTGAAAGCCCAATTAGTAACAAATCATAATCCCCATAACTGACGCCTATTTTCAAAAGTCCAATTGGAACTAATGCTAATCTTTTTGAAAGCCCAATTGGAACTAACTTCTTTTTCAAAAGCTCGATAAATAAATCACTTGATGTATTGGAACTAAAGCCTCTTTTCAAAATTCCAGTTGATCAAATGCTAATCTTTTCAAAAACACAACTGAAATGAACATCTCTTTTCGGAAGCCCCAATCACCAAATCTCTCTTTTCCTTTAATTTGTTTTTTTCCATTCTTCTTCTTGTTTTTTTCTTCCTCAAATAAAAAAAAAAAAAAAAAAACTAAACTCACGAGAAAAAACAAAATAAAACACAAAAAAACTACTTGATAGGAAACATATATCCTACACGATTTTTTTTTTCCTCCTAATCTCTTTCCGTCAAGGCATTAAAACCACACTTTTCTTCCCTTTATTCTTCTTCTTGGCAGTGGAAACTTATATTCTTCAAACAATAGTAGACAATCTTCACCATCAGATTCATATCATGTGGGTGTGCAAAGAAAATTAGCTTCGTGCACCCACATCGAAGCGCTGACAGCAAAGTTCAACCAAGAATTGAACCTTACTCTGATACCAAGTTGAAAATAAAAAGTTTAGGATAAATTTAGAATTCTCTATAATCTCACAATTCTCAAATACAACTTCAATATTTTATTCTTCTACATAAGGAGGTATTTATAAGGTAACAAAGGAACAATACTAGGAAATAAACCAAAACAATCCTTTTTGTCTACAAGACAAGGTAACTTAGACCAAATCAAATCATATCAAAACCCTAATTAAATCATAGAAAATGACTAATTAAATTACTTATTAAATCATATAAAATCACTAATTAAATCAAATCTCTGAAATACTTTTCTTTTTATTTTCCAACAAATATTGCTTTTCAGGTTCATTTCCTGCAAACGTCGCGTTAATCCTTCTTTCTTTAGAGGGTCCCTGTTGCATCTTGGAACGGGAATTTATCAATAACAACCAAAAATTCGCAAGGGCTTATTTTTTGAACTCAGTTTGTCAAGCATCACTAGTACAAAAAACATTTTGTGTGACGCATGTCCTTCTTCGTGCAAAGTCAAAAACCGTCATGCAAAAATTGGCCCAACAAACCTTTGTCGCGCACCAACCGTTGTGCCAAGGCCGTGACAACAAGGTTTGCATGACGAAGAAGTAACATGAGTCGCGGAAAACTACCTTGCGTGACATATGTTACTTCTTTGTTGTGCAAACCTTTGTTTTTTTTTTTTTTGGCAAAAATATTTTTTATTTAATTTTTAATAAATATTTTAATTAAATTCTAAAAAATAATTAATAAACCAAGAAAAATTATTTAATTATAAAATATATGAAAATGTACATACAAGATGTCCGAACAAAAAGGAAAAAACTACAAGTAGTCTTCTAGGTTTAATACATCAGGCTACTAGGTATCGGCTGGGCGAAATGACTGGAAGGTCGAAGGTGGAGCAATATTAGGTGCTGGCATCGGGATTTGAAGGCCAGACATTTGTAAGGCTCATAAGATCATGCTTATCTTCTCGTCTTAGGCTGAAAACTAAGCAGCAATCTGGGCTTCCCGAGCATCCAGGACTGCTTCTTGGGCCACAATCTTATCTTTTAGGATTTCCACTTCCTTCGTCAGGGCAACCTGTCCTTATATACATAAGCTGTAAATCCAAAGTAAATTGCATCATTAGCATGGAGCAGTTGGCATGAAACAAATACACAAGCTGTAATAAATACCATACCAAATATTTGAAATAAGCTATCAAACAGAGCCATTATAGACGAAACAAAAGGAGTACCGCGTTGTTTAACATTTATTTTTGAACTACACAAGTTTAGTATAAACAAATCCACTAAAGATTATTTGTAATCTGTCACATCCCGACCCGGGGGGACCACTTCCCGGGCCCGCTCCACCACCGTAGTACGATATTGTCCGCTTTGGGCTTACCATTCCCTCACGGTTTTGTTTTTGGAAACTCACGAGCAACTTCCCAGTGGGTCACCCATCATGGGATTGCTCTAGCCCCCTTCTCGCTTAACTTCGGAGTTCCTAAGGAATCCGAAGCTAGTGAGCTACCTAGCATGAGAATATACATTTAAGGATCACTCCCCTGGGCGATGTGGGATGTCACATAATCAATTAACTTCAACTTTGAGCGAACAATTACAAGTTGACACACTCCAACATGACTATAGTACAACACTAAAGACTCTAGTTTGAATAAGTAAGCAAAGGAGTAGGACACACTAGCTGAAAAATGTGGATGCCACACATTTATAGCATTTCACTTACATGAATTGAAGGGATGTGATTCCCACTAAGCAAATCTAGAAGGACGGTGCCAAAGCTATAAACAACACTTTCTGGAGTGACCCTTCCTACAAAGTAAATAAACGACCAGTAAAGTCAGCATATCTCAAGCAGAAGTCGTTTAGATAGGAACGTGTCATGTTGTAGAAAACTAATGTCAATACCATCTTGCATTTCAATGTTTGCTTGTTAAAAAGCTATATATTTAGAGGTACTTCACAAAAGGGTCACTGAGAAATCTTAGAAGCTGAGCTAAAAATAGCATTCTTAAAAAACCAAGTGAAGTCGAAAGACAAATAGTAAATAAAGATAGATTTTGTTTAACATACAGTGGAACAAATGCTTAGCCCAAAGTATCAGTAGGCATGTACTCAGCAACAAGCAGCCTTTCATCCCCATCACAGCAATACCCAATCAAATTTGCAAGCCGCCAATGCCGCAACTTCCCCACACCCCAAGCTTCCTCATGCAAAACCAAAACCCATAAATCATTCATACACCTAAGTCACAAAACGAACATCTGTAAATTTTACAGCGACCTATTTCCAGAAATTGAAATCTAATTACACAAACTAAAATTGAAATCTGACTTTCGATTTTGAGATACCTAAAATTGAAATCTGGACCTAGCAAAACTTTGAGAGAGAGATGTGAAGAGACCTTTGGAATTGAGGAAACGGAGAGGAATTCCGACGGAGGGTGGAGTGGAGGAGAAGCAGATGGGTGGGTAGGGGCTGTTGTCTTCCTTCGTCTTTGTCTTCATCTAACGGAGTGGGAGAGAAATTAGTTTGACAATGTTTCTCAAATAGAATGCATGATCGAACATCTGAGAGAAAGTGAATCTACAAACACTTCAGTTTCATAGCAAATGCTAGTAGACATCTTTTTCGACAAAAGCATAAAATTAGGTTCAAATGATCGAACAACGAGTTTAAACCAACTTTACTACTTTCAAAAATCACTCTTTTTTTCATATACAGTATGCACACATACATAGATCACAGATACAAACTTTCATAAAATCGTCGATATGGAATCCTAATGGACCTTACCACTTTGAGAAGGAGCCATCTTATCTGAAGTTTCTGAATGCTGGTGAGCTTCTGCGACACTGTTTCACTGATCGTTGACAAAACCCCCGCTATAATTGCCTGTTCGGATATCAACCGAAATGAAGATCACCAAAAAAAATCTCAATTAACAACTTGTTACACTCATATTATTCAACTCGAAAAACTAATTAATTACTAATCATAATTAAGGAATATGAGCTGAAAATACATCATCTTTGAAAAAACCTAGATGAGAAAGTAATCTAGACATACAAAAAAAAAAATTCAATCTTTGGGGGTTTCCTCAACTTTCTCGGGAACCAAACAGGGTTTTAATATAGAAAACAGAGGAAATCAAGATATCCCAGAATAAAAGTGAGACTGATAATTTGATAAAAGGCATAGAATTTGACCTTGGTTCTGGGTGATGCTGAAGTTGAAGCAAGTACTGCTGCAACCCTTTCTTTGCAATCGACCCTATCAAAATTTCTACGTCACAAAATAGCGGAAGAACGTATTGGTAACACTCACCAAATAAAACCCTAATTATCATATGTTGAAAGATTAAAGCAAAAAGCAAAACATTGAGAGAGATAGATGTGAAGAGACCTTCAGAATCAAGGAAACGGCAAGAATTCCGACGAAGGTTGGAGCGGAGAAGGAGCAGATGGGTGTGTAGTGGTTGCTGTCTTCCTTCATCCTTGTCTTCGTCTAACGGAGTGGGAGAGAAAAGCGAGACCGAGTGAAAGAGAGGTCGAGATGAGCGAAGGGGAAAAGAGAGACCGAGTGAGAGAGAGGGTAGTGTCTGGACTCTTCCAATTGCACCTCCATTATGAGTAATTTGGGAAAATTTTAAAAACAGCGCCTATTTTTTTCAGGTAGGCCGCCAAAATTTTAACAACTTGCGTGACGCATGTATTCGTCGTGCAAACAAACTTTGCGCAACGCACCAACTAATACGTCATGCAAAGAGTGTTTGCGGGACAGAATAACCGCGTCGCGCAAAGCGTTTTTGCGCGACGCACCAACTAATACGTCTCGCAAAGGCTATTTGCGCAACACATTGGCTAGTGCGTCGCGCAAGTTAATTTTAAAAAATATGTATATTATAAAAATTACTGAAAATTTAACTTTATTCCCTTCAAATTTATTTATTTTTATATAAAACCCACAATAATATATTTTTCTAACAAAAACTCGATCCAAACTATAATAATAAATTTAAAGCTACTTAGTAAATATATATACCATTTAATTTCTTAAGTGTTATAGGTATAAAATAAATAAATTTAAAGCTACTTCAGAAATATATAACTTGATGGGATACGCATTTTACGAAACTAGTTTCAAAGATCCAATCATCAAACTTGTTTGTATATATTTCGAGATCGCGTACACCAAAAATCGCAAAAAACAAACATTCAAATATCAAGTAACGGGACAAAACTTTTCGACTGTTATAAATTAAAAATCACGATTTAGCGGTTATTTTAACTCCGATTTTGATAATTTTTTTATAGCTACACTCCTTGACCCTATATGAATACAATGAATGAATTCAAATTCAATTTAAAATATTTACACTAGTAGATACCACAAAATCTTATGTTATACTTAATGAAAGTATAAATAAACTCTTAAGTGTTAGTGAATCTATTGTTTTGATGGGATATGCATTCTAGAAACTAATTTCAACGATCCAACCATCAAACTTGTTTGTATATGCTTCAAGATCGCATACGCCAAAAATCACAAAAAACAAACATTCAGATATCAAGTAACAGGACAAACCTTTTCGACGTTATAAATGAAAAATCACGATTTAATGGTTATTTTAACTTCGATTTTGATGATTTTTTTACAGCTACACTCCTTGATCCTATATGAATACAATGAATAAATTGGATCTTCAATTTAAAATATTTACACTAGTGGATACCACAAAACCTTATGTTTATACTTAATGAAAGTATAAATAAACCCTAAGTTTTAGTGAATCTATTGTTTTGATGAGATACGCATTGTACGAAACTAATTTCAACGATCCAACCATCAAACTTGTTTGTATATGCTTCGAGATCGCATACGCAAAAAATCGCAAAAAATAAACATTCAAATATCAAGTAACGGGACAAAACTTTTCAACGGTTATAAACGAAAAATCACGATTTAACGGTATTTTTAACTCCGATTTTAATGATTTTTTACAACTACACTCCTTGATCCTATATGAATACAATGAATGAACTCGATCTTCAATTTAAAATATTTACACTAGTGGATACCACAAAATCTTATGTTATACTTAATGAAAGTATAGATAAACTCAAGTGTTAGTGAATCTATTGTTTTGATATGATACGCATTGTACGAAACTAGTTTCAACAATCCAATCGTCAAACTTGTTTGTATATGCTTCGAGATCGCATACGCCAAAAGTCGCAAAAAACAAACATTCAGATATCAAGTAACTGGACAAACCTTTTCTACAACGATAAACGAAAAATCACGATTTAACGGTTATTTTAACTCCGATTTTGATGATTTTTTACAGCTACACTCCTTAACTCTATATGAATATAAAGAACTAATTCGACCGTCAATTTAAAACATTTATACAAGTGGATACCAAAAAAGAAAAAGGCAATGCAAGAACCTCAAAAGAAAAGCAAAAGGAAAAAAAAAAAAAAAAATCTTTGCGCGACAAAGACCTATGTGGCGCAAAGTGTTTTTTTTTTGCTCCATTTGCTTATGAACTAATTCGATCATTGTCACATCCCGGCCCGGGGCGGATCACTTTCCGGGCCCGCTCCACCACCGTAGCACGATATTGTCCGCTTTGGGCTTACCATTCCCTCACGGTTTTGTTTTTGGGAACTCAAGAGCAACTTCCCAGAGGGTCACCCATCCTGGGAGTGCTCTAGCCCCTTTCTCGCTTAACTTCGGAGTTCCTACGGAACCCGAAGCCAGTGAGCTCCCAAAAGGCCTCGTGCTAGGTAGGGATGGGAATATACATTTAAGGATCACTTCCCTGGGCGATGTGGGATGTCACAATCCACCCCCCTTAGGGGCCCGACGTCCTCGTCGACACATTTCCGGCCAGGGATAGGCTCTGATGCCAATGTCACATCCCGGCCCGAGGCGGATCACTTCCCAGGCCCGCTCCACCACCGTAGCACCATATTGTCCGCTTTGGGCTTACCATTCCCTCACGGTTTTGTTTTTGGGAACTCACGAGCAACTTCCCAGAGGGTCACCCATCCTGGGAGTGCTCTAGCCCCTTTCTCGCTTAACTTCGGAGTTCCTACGGAACCCGAAGCCAGTGAGCTCCCAAAAGGCCTCGTGCTAGGTAGGGATGGGAATATACATTTAAGGATCACTTCCCTAGGCGATGTGGGATGTCACAATCATCAATTTAAAACATTTTACACAAGTGAATATCACAAAATCTTATGCTATACTTAATGAAAGTATAAATAAACTCTAAGTGTTAGTGAATCTATTGTTTTGATGGGATACGTATTGTACGAAACTAGTTTAGACGATCCAACCGTCAAACTTATTTGTACATAATTCGAGATCGCATACGCCAAAAATCACAACAAACAAACAAACATTCAGAGATCAAGTAACAAGACAAAACTTTTCGACGGTTATAATAAAAAAAATCACCATTTAAAGTAGTTTTAACTTCGATTTTAATGATTTTTTACAGTTACACTCCTTGATCCTATATGAATACAATGAACTAATTCGATTATCAATTTAAAATATTTATACTATTGGATACCACAAAATCTTATGTTATACTTAATGAAAGTATAGATAAACTCCAAGTGTTAGTGAATCTATTGTTTTGATGCGATACGCATTGTACGAAACTAGTTTCAACGATCCAACTGTCAAACTTGTTTGTACATGCTTCGAGATTGCATACACCAAAAATTGCAAAAACACAAACATTCAAGTATCAAGTAACTGGACAAACCTTTTTGACGGTGATAAACGAAAAATCACGATTTAATAGTTATTTTAACTCTGATTTTGATGATTTTTTATAACTACACTCCTTAATCTTATATGAACACAATGAACTAATTCGATCTTCAATTTAAAACATTTTACATAAGTGGATACCACAAAAGAAAAAAGCAATGCAAGAACCCCAAAAGAAAAGCAAAAGGAAAAAAAAAAAAAAAAAAAAAACAGCTTTGCATGACCCCAGCCTTTGTCGCGCAAAGTTTGTTTGCGCAACGAAATTTGTTGCGTCGCGCAAACATGTTTTTGTACTAGTGCATGTAGTGTTATCCCTGATAAGTTTTAAGTGCCATTAATCTCTGAAAAATTCACTGTTAACTATCAACTTCTGATCAGGTTTGAATTAGTTCTTCCTGGTCTTGTCATTCATAAGATTGACATGCCAATAACTCAACCAATAAATTCTCTCTAACAATAATTGTGAAAAACTGAAAAGACTTTTATTTTAGGATGGTGCTATTACTTAAACACGCTCTATACTACAAGTGACGCTCATACATAATAATGGAGCTCACATTTATCCGTTTGGATTCTCTTCGGATTTTTTTGGTAAGAATCTTAGAGATTTGTGAATTGTGTCTGTTTATTATACATCGTGTGGTCAGTTTTTGTCAGATACTATTTTTGTTTAATTTTAAATAAAAATATTTAAAATAATTTCTGATCTCACAATGTACGATGAATAGATACAGTTCATGAATCTCTAGGATCCTCACAAAGAGGATCCGGTAAGAATCTGGATTCCACATTTATCAGATAGTGTGTCGACACACGTGTTACTTTTGTTTGTTCAAATAGTTTTGTTGTTTATTTTTATTATCGAATAGACCAATCATTGGAAAGGGGAACAAAATGCATTCATACTTTATTACCATTTCTCAACAATTTCATATTTGTTATCTCTTAGAAATAGGCATGAAAATTTGTACATCTAATGATTTCTTTTGTTTCAAGGAGGGTGGCCTTTATAGATGAAATTGTTTTGAACTAGAATAATTATTTAATATTTCTTGCTCTGGCCTCTGATGTAACGTTTCTATTCGAATCTATCGTTCGAAATAAGTAAAAAATGATTGCCCACACACACTAGTATTATTACGTATATTAATCTCAATGACAAATTATTTGCATTACATCAAATAATGTAAATGATGAGAGCAAGAAAAATAAAATCACACGATCGAGTACACTCTTCTAAGGCTGATTTAAAAAGTAGCCAAAGAGTTTATGTTCCTCCTTCACACAACACAAATCGATCCCACCTCACCTACTACCACACCAAAACTAATGCTTGATCAGTCATCAGTGTCCCTCCAATCCAGATGTTTAAAAATTGGATAACCAAGAAAGTTGGTGTTTCCTCAAACCATATATATATATGATTGTTCCATCAACAATTAAATCATTTTAATCTGCTAATTTTGTCAATCAATTTGAAAAAAATTAAGCTCAAACTTTACCAAACTTTTTCTATGGGTAGACTTGTCCCCATCTTTTTTTTTTTTTTTTTTATGAAACTGTATATGTTTGGAAGATTTATTTGAATATATAGCTCATATATTTTAGTCAAACTACGTCCCAAACATGTATTTTATAATAAAAATAATTGTATATGATAATAATTTTAGGAAATTAATATCTGTAGTTCATATTTTGCCATTTTACTAAACGTTAATTACCTAATTAAGGGTCCCAAAGAGAGTCATTTGGCATATCCTCCCACTGATTCTCAAAGTCATCAGAGAACATCGTAGGCTCTGCCATTTGCATCCACATTTTGGGCGACTCCAAGGGTGACTCGTTGATCGCTTGGATTTGAGACGGCGAGAGCCTCACCGTCACCGGCCCGACGTTTGAGCTGGAGCCCTCAACCTGATCATGACCTTCAACCGCACCAGCACCACTACCTCTCAGCATCAAGGCTGCTTCCTGTGCCGCCATGCGTATGTCATCGGGGGTTGAGCTGGCGGGGCGAGGCAAGTTACTGACAAGTTCAGGGAAGTTGAGCCTTGCGTCGCGACCCCTGAAATGGAACGCCGCCACATCATATGCGGCCGCGGCCATCTCTGGTGTCTCGAAGCTGCCTAACCAAATTCGGGTTTTGGTTCCGGGCTCGCGGATTTCCGACACCCATTTGCCCCATTTTCTCTTGCGGACGCCTCTGTAGGTCGAAGAGGCAGGGCCGTAGGGATTGCTAGAATTGGCGGGATCTCCCATGCATGCAGCGAAATGATAGCAGAAATGTTAAATTTGGTGTTTGTGTTTGAAAAATATTTAGCTTTGAAGCAATGGTAGTACAATTATAAAACACTTTGATTGGTGAAAGTGTGATCCAGTTGATACGTATTTATAGATGCGAACGTCTTACGATTTTTGAACGATACGTGGTCGCATAACATGAAATGAGCTTCCACGCAGTTGCCTTGTCCAGGTGCATGCTCGCAGAATTATCTTTTCTATTTGTCAAAGAATCTAAAAAATAAATCAACAAAAAATATTTGAAATTATAAAAGTTGGGGATGAAAATTCAGGCAATATGATGAATCAGAAGATTAACAAGTGTTGGGGGAATATTTTAAGCCAAATTCTGGATGGACTGCTGCAGTTAACCAGAATAATTAATAGATAAATAATATGTACTGAACTGTTGAGGACGCGGTTTAAACCCAGGTGGCATGGAATATACATATCCATTCTTCTTCTTCCTTTTTGGTTGAAGTATGAAATCCTTTCGGAGTCTGGACCCACTGAATATCCGTTCTCACAGAAGACAGGATAATGTAGAGCTGATCAGTGATCAGCATCAGCATGGCGAATCTAAGATCACCACACAACCTTTTTTTTTTTTTTTTTTTTACTGTTATGTTGCTTTTTCTTTGCAATAGGGCCCATGTTTTATGTAATATATAAATTGAAAATTTTTAATGTGATTTAATAGTACTACATTCTTTTTTGGTTAAAGAATACTACCACATGTTACTACCGACTAGAAACTTGTTTAAGGATTCTGCTTCTCTAGGAACCACAATGCTCATAAAGGCTCGTTTGGAAGTATTTTTAAAATAATTGATAGCGTTTTTAGTGAAAATGTTTTTGAAACTAATTCTTAGTAAAAATGCAAGTGAATCCTTAGAAAAACATTTAAACTGCTTCATGAAAGAAGTACATAACTAGTTTTTTGCATAAAGCACTTCAAATGCTTTTGGAACCCAAAAAATATTTTTTCTGAAAGTGTTTTCAATCATTTACAAAGTACTTTCCAAACGAGTCATAAGTGTTCTTTCTAAAAGCGGTTTTACGTTTGAATTTTTTATCAGAAGTAAAGTTAGTACTCTAAGCTCTACTAAGGGAAGGAGAATGGGTTGAACAGGAGAGGCGTTAGGTTGAGCAAGAAGGTCCTCCTGAAGAAGCACCTAGCTTCTGAAGACATTTTTATGACTCTTATGATCTCTCGAATTTTTCTACCTAACATAATCAAAAATGTTAAAAAAAAAAAAAAAAAAAAAACTCCGATGATTTTGAGTTGGATACTCAAAATACTTAACATAGTACAGTCACATTAAGTGATCCTAGCTAAACCATTAGATTTCAATCTAATCACTGACGTCGTCAAAGAAAAAAATTGAAATTCCGAAAGTTTAACTTACATAAGATTAAGTGTCACCCATCATTTCCTCTATTCATGCTGAATATTAGAAAAGAGAATCAAATTCATATGTATTGTATACTATGATGGCATGTTTACTAGGTATTAATAAGAACAAAATAAGGAGTTGGATTGCAATTACGAATCACTCACAATTTCAATGAGCATGGAAGGATAAAAAAAATAAGCATAGCCTACCCAAAATTAGGAATTCAATTCTTGATTTGGATCGACTAAGTGGATTCTTTGGAGAGACGTAGCATTCTATTTTTATGGAGAACCAATTCATTATAATGATCCCTATAATCATGGCTCATACATAGGTCATGCATGATTTCCGATATAACGAGTGATTCCTAAACAAGATTATTAATGGGTGCTCCTTATCACGTCTCTCATATTGTCAACAATTGTTGCTAAATGAGCGGGATAATGTGAGTTCAAACCAACCACTTAAGGAGCGTCATGCATGCCCTAATAAATCACCTTTGAGCCCATGTTTGTCTTTATATAAAGGTATGCTTATACAATGAAGGATATCCTTTAGCTAATAAACTCATAACTTAGTATTCATTTTCCTAAAATAAGTATAACTTAAGCATCAAAGAGCTTTTGGCTCACACCACACCGGTGTACATGTGGCAAGGTCTCACTTGTACCTTTTCATTCATGGTTGCAAAGATATCAGAGTAATTTTAAGTTTGTGTGGAATTCGTCCCCTACACGTTTAACTAAACTCTCTTTGTCAACTAAAGAGGGTAAAATGATTATAATGTCTTTTAACACCTTTAATCAGTTTAAATATAACTTTCATATATAATAATTTTGATTTACCTTCTTCCTCTCTCCATCCTGACTTTCCTCTTCTTATCTCTCTCTACTTTGTACAGCAACTAGCTTACTCTTTACTCTAGTTATCATATGATACAAACTATAATTTCCTATTCCAGGATCCTTGTAAGAATGTAATTCTTTTGTAGTCAAGAAAGTAAAATTCTGTATTGGTAAAAGAAAATGGAAAAAAAAAAGAAAAAAAAAAAAGAAGAGAATTCTGTTGACCAGGAAAAGACGAAGAAGTTCTGTTTCCTGTGTATGCACGTGTTTTTAAACTATCACTACAAAATACTTGTAGTTGTAGATAGCACACCCAAAATTAACATTAAAATGAGAAACGTGGGGTTTCATGGGTTTCTAAAAGTAGCCTAAATCGATGCAAAAATATTTGTTGTGTGCTTCCATTATGATCGCTTCCTTTTGTACCTGTTTAAATGAAACAAAAGTTGTATCGTGCTTCGAAATATAGATACTCTTATTAGTTTTAACTTTTAAATTTTGATTTTGTATTTTTAAACAAAAATTTAATAACCAAAACACCTTAAAGATGAGGTACCCCAAAGTACCACAGTATCCCCTGAACGATATACCCTCTTCCATATGAAATCAACTATGAACCTACATGTGAGGAGTACGAAAATATAAGGTATTTACGTTTTCAATATTTGTTCAAAATATACTACTACATATCGAATAGAATTTATAAGGCATTATTTTGAGAAATAAACTGAGAATATGTTTATCATCACTTATTTTTTGTAGTTTGATCCAAGCGATTGAGGATTGTGTGTTCTTATTTGCTTTGCATGTATGTGATGGAGTAGCGCACTTTAGTTGCCTCTTTTGTAAGTCGTTTTAAAGAACCTCTTCATTCGAAGTTGGTTGGTTCTAGCTACTTTATAAAATTTTAGAAAGTTATGCACGCTTGTTCATTCAATGTATGAACCCTAAACCACAAATTACAATATATATCTTCTCCCATCTAAATAACCAAAGTTTCGTAAATTATACCACACGAATATATGATATAGTAGAAGCTAGCTATTGGGTCCACTTAGTGTCATATTTCTAATGTAATTTGGCTAGTGACTAACACAGAAATCAGTCCTAATAGGAAATGGATTTAATTGGTAACAGCTCAAGGGCAATATGTATCCAAATGAGACCATACAGCGGACGAGAGACCTTCTTTAGAGTGAAACAGCTGGATCATGCTAATCATCCAATTATCTTGATAATAAAATATAATTAAGCGATGTTTCTACCCCTTATTCCCATTTAATATTTGATTTACTAATAGCGTTGACATAATCGTAGGTTTAAATAATCAGCGCTGCCATGAATATCTTCTCTTAATTTTTGTCATGGCAATATGATATTGATGCGGCGTACGGATACACGATCTCCGCGTTCACTCGAAGTTTCGCATGTTTGACTGTGGACGTGACACAACATAAGTTATAGAATACAGGATCACGAACAGTTTTATAGATTTTAGAGAAAATCTCGATTTTCAATTGAGTAATATAATCATGATATAACTGTAAAGTCGTTTATATAATATTGAGAAAACATTCTTAAAACTTAAGTGTTGTTTTTAACCCTTTAAACGTCATTAAGACGCTAGAATCCATCTTAAGTCATAGGAAACTGAAAAATTTAATTCGTGTCGTGGTTCTCTGTCAAATAAAATATCATGAGCCCAAATGGAATACAACCGTAAAACACTATTCACAGAGAGCAGTCCAAAATTTGCCATTTGAATCGGAATGGGATCCTCGTCAGCTCTTTTTTCTAGGAATTTCATAATTGTAATCGTTTATCGTATATTGTACGGTCAAAAATTATTTAAAATTTAAAATTAAATATAAAAATTACCTAACGAAAACTGATCATACGATATAACATGAACGACCACGATTACAAAATTCATGAAATCTCTAGAAAAAAATCCACCAATAATCACTTTTCATTTGAATCATTTCTTCTAGTCCCTTGTCAGGACGTTAAGTAATAAAATCATCATTTTCTTTCTAGTTTTCCTGCCTTCAATCTTCCAATTCCCAAGGTTATTATGACTGCATGTGGAAGTCGGATGGTTTGCACTTTGGAAATTGAGCTTGGACTCATAATCCTCCTGACCGATATATAAAAATCATTAGATTTTGATCAAACGGTTAAAAACAGAAGGTCCTTTAAAAGTTATAATAATTGTAGTCATTAGATCAAAATCTAACAACCTTTGTGTATCGGTCAGGAGGATTCTGAACCCAAGCTCAGGAGATGATCCAATTCATCCACTTTGAATTACATGCTAAAATATGATCTAAAATTTCTATTTTTTTAATATGAACGATATACTCTAAAGGAGACGATATTTTACTGTACAATAAGAGGAGATTGCACTAAGTTACATTGTATATTAGTCACTAATTACGTATTGACTACAACAAAAATATACTATGGTCTCGCCATCTAATGAATTAAATAAGAGAACAGTTCACTTATATATATAAAGATGAATATCATTAAACCGTATAAATCTTCCATCTTAAACACACCTAATTTACCAACTAAGAAAGTGCAATTAGATTTTATTCAATTCTGAATTATTCTAATTAATAAAAATGAACATTCAAATTTAAGTGAGATGGACCAACACACTACCTTAATCGATTAGCCTAACCACATTTGCTCACTACCTTAATCGATTAGTCTAACTCACGATTACTTAACATTAAGCAAAATTCAATTGCCGTACTTTTTGTGCTTAAGAAAGACTTAAACATTTACTTGTTGAAACCGACAAGGATTAATCTATTAACTAAAGCCAATAAAATAAAAACAAGTATAAAAAGTTAGTGTTTCAATCACAAAATCTACAATCGTTGATGAATCTTTTGATTCACTGAATGCAGAACAAGAGCCTTACTGATAAAAAAAATAAAACAAAATAAAACAAGAGCCTTTTGTTGTCCTTAGATTTATGTTGGTCAACGAGCCTTTAACTTGCCTACCACCGACAACTTTTGTTTGTATGAGTAACGATAGGGATATGAATTAGAATATTAATTATTCTTTTCTTTTTATATTAGTAAACCATTAATTCCACAAAAAATGATATATAGTTGTTGTAGGCTAAGAAAAGGGAGAGGACTGGCAATAGGAGATAAAATAGACAGAGAGTGGGAATTATGTGTTGTGATTTCACCATTTTATTTCTTTATTTATAGTAATATGGAAGAAAGAATCTTGTTCTCCAAGTAATACAAGTACAATAAAGAATGATCTCATACAATCCTATACATAATCTATTAAGATTTACACAATTGCACTTCTAATGGAATATTAATTGCAATACTCCTCCTTGTTTCTGTAGATACTCAAGTAGATGGTGCATTAGATTTTTAGCGATGATGTAAAAATAGTTAATGAAGTCATTGGTGCAATGTGTAAACGCAAGTCTCAAACACGAAATGCACATGAAAAGTAAGTCTCAAAAAACCTAGCTATGTTGAAAATCAAGGCGAGACAAAGCCTATAGGCTAGTAGAAAAGTGAGTTAATGCAAAACCCGTCAACACTAAACGTGTATAGGACGCCGGTGGGATGCACAAACGGGTATGACCAACCAAGGATAGGTGTCTCATCAAAATCTCATCAGGCAACAAAAATCCAATGGGACCAAATGGTCTTGATTGTAGGAAAAAGAGTACATTATGGTCAAATGAGTGTGTTGCAAGATACTCCCATTGAATTTGACAAAACTTCCAAATGAGAACTATAAATGTTGTAGCTCAGATAATTTACGCATATCAATTTCTTGAACAAGCTTCTGAAAAAATAGACTTCGGAAAGGACTTGGTGAAGAAATCAATAAGGTTGTCTTGGGATCGAATATGCTTGACTTCAATCTTCTGAGGCTCTTATTGCTGATGTGAATAGAAAAACTTTGGTGCGATATACTTGCTATTCTCTACTTTGATGTAACCTTTCTTGATTTGGACGACACAAGCAACATTATCTTCATAAACCGTTGTAGGAAAATTAACTACAGAAGAAGGTCCACAAATGCTCTGAATATCCTCACTAACAACACTTAACCATAAGCATTCGTGAAAGGTGAGATCTCAGCATGATTCGAAAAAGTCACAATTAAGAGGTCTGTTTAATTGACCTTCAAGATATTGCGGTATCTCCAACAGTAAAGACATAACCCTACGATACGCCATCTTGAAATGATTTATTTTACAGTTGTGAGAAAAATGATTTTAAAGAGCATTTTGGTTATTTTAAATTTTACTTAGGTGTTTGAGGTGGATTTAGAATAGATAGGAGGCAGATTTAGAATAGATAGGTAGAATGCATGGGCAACAACTGTTACGAATCACAGTGGAAATGAAGAAGTTACGGAGTGCTTGCATTTTGATCTTTTGTCAGTTACTATAAATAAAAACTTGACTCCAGATTTAAAAAAAAAAAAAAAAAAAAAAAAGCATAAAGTAGTTTCCAGAAATGGAAACCCAACCGAAACCCATAACTCGCGACCCAGTGAATCTACCAACCTGCACAACTTTGAGCTTTTTATGCGAATTACGGCCAACTATGGTGAAATTTTTTTCGACGCCACCACCACTAGTTTGAAGCTCTTACTTTCCTCTACAAAACTCACACAATAACCACCTACCGTACACGGCAATGCGAGTCCTCCAAATCCAACGTGTCTGGCTGCTTTTCTATTTTTTGGCTAATTGATGAAATGGCAGCTGACGTCATCATTTGGGTCTTATAGCTCATCATCTCAGAAGTAGATCCGACCAACCTCGACTTTTTTGGACCATTGAAATCAATAGGATCCTCTCCGGATCTTTTTGGTGAGGATTCTGGAGATCCATGAATCGTGTTCGTTCATCGTACATCGTGTGGTTAGTTTTTGTCAAGTACTGTTTATGTTTATTTTTAAATAAAAATATTTAAAATAATTTCTAACCGTATGATGTATGATGTATGATGAAAAAACACGATTTACGGATCCCCATAATCCTCACAAAGAGAATCCGGACTCCCATTGAAAAGAAGAAGATGACTAAAGTGATCCACGTCAAGAGACATTATTATATGTCATAATTAAACCATTAAACGGATTAAGTTAATTAAATTAGAAAGGTCCATAATCAATGCGGAAAACAGCTGCAAAACAATAGAGTACTTGGATGTTGTATATGATTAAAGAGAATTGTTATTAACATTTTAAAAATTTTATTCTACATTCTAAACTTTTTATATTAGGAAAGAAAAATACGCTTATAAGAATTGTAAAATGAGATTTTTAAAATACCAATAACATTTCTCATGATAAATATTAAAAACGACATTATTTTACTTTTGACTCAAGTTTAAAAGCAATATTGGAAAGTTTTCTTCATGTGTTTTTCCTTTGTTTTTGGGTCGCACGAATTGCAACTTTCACATTGCAAATTTGCGATGTCTCTTGACTTTTGGGGGACAAAAGATCCAGTGCCGGTGGTTTAGTCAGATTCTACTCTGACTGCGGTCAGAAACAAATTGATTGAGACATACATAATCATTAGAAAATTGGGAGTAGAAAGGACTAAACAAGGAAGGATCTTGCGGGGCAATATACTCTGATGTTATACATACTAAATTACTAATATACAATGCTATTTAGATCTACAAATTTACTTATTAAAAAGCATTTCAATAATATACTCAATTAAAATAACAAAATTATATTATAGTATGTTGCCTATTGAATTGTTTTATAATAATAATCTGAAACGACTCTAATAGATTAAGTAAACTAAGAAGGTAAAATTATATGTTATACTTTGATCCAAGTCTAAAATTTAAAGTTGCTATTGGATTTAGTCTTGTTCCATATTTTTATACTTTAATTAAATTTCTTGATTTATGCATCTTTACTCAAAATTTGAATTTAAATATTTAAATATGAAAATAAAACCACTTTTATGAAAAGTATATACGAAAGTAAATAAAACTTAATATACTTATTATCCATAAAAATAGTCGAAGATATTTTATCTTTTATACATTTATAAATCCACACACACACACACACACACACACACACACACTATATATATATATATATATATGATGATATATAGCACCTACAACATACAATATTCAAGTAAAAGACAATCCTATAAATAAGGGATAACATTTACAATTTAATTATAAATAATTAAATTAAAAAAAAAACTGATGTAGATAATCAATGAGTAGACCTAGCCCAACAAACTGGACTAAATTCAATAATGACTCAAAAAATACATCACGTGTACTCTTTATTTCGTGTGTAACATCAATTTTTACTTTTTGATTTTGTCATCTTCCTCTACATCGAATATTTGATTATAAAGGAGGGTGTGGGGCCTGAATTGCCTACTCATGATGGTGTAGGCAACGTTCCTATTTTAGGAGGGTATGTAGAATTTGCATGCTTAATTGCCTCTATTATTGGAGCTAGTTTTTACGTACGTGTTTGATTAAAACAGGTATTCCAACTCAATTGTCTACGTTAGAGATGTTCTAATACTTTTCACGTGAACACCCTCCCGAATTCCATCTTGAATCCTTCTCTTTTTCTTTTATTTTTAATATATTAATATATTTTTGTTTAATCTACATGACATCACAAATTTGGACATGGGAATCCGCATGTGGGCTGCATCATAAGATGAACGAACTTTTTTTACGAAATTGATTGAACGGCATGGACCAATAATGCACATTTTGTTAAATTTAGGGACATAAATTTAAAAAATTTTAGTTCATGGATGAATTCTAATTTCGAGACAAATCAGCCAATGGTTTTAATTTTATAATTAATCACATGGCCTCATACGAAGGTTTAGGTTTCAAGGCCCATTGGGTTTGGACCTAGGGCTTGTGATTTAAGTTACAGTTGTTTACTGCATGCAAACCAAAGCCTAGTTAGGCTAAAGTGTTATTTAGCACCAAATGACAAAAATTAATTTCTCAACGAGACATATTTAGCTTACGCTAAAATAATTTAGTACTCTTAAAACCAATTGATAATATATGAAGTAACTCAACTCTTTATAAGCCCTTGAATGATTTGGTCTCGATGTGGGACTTTGTCCTAAAATCCTCACACCAGGGCTTTGACCGTGTGACTGTTGAATAATGAACTGGTGACTTATAGCCAGTGACTTGTTTAAGGAACCCACCAGAGCCGTAGCGAAAACAAGTCTTCATATGGTAATTGTCACTGCCTATGAACTCAAACCTGGATGATCTATCCATGACCATAACGACGTCTAATTATTTAATTTATGTGGTAAGGATATGTTATTTGTAAATGGTAAAAGGTGTATATTTCCCCATGAATATATTCTTTAATACTCATACTGTCGATATATTTCATATATTTGGATGCATAAACAATCATTGATTTGAATGGTTTTTTTATTTTTTTATTTTGGAAGGAAGATTTTTAAATGAAAATTATGAATTGAACAGTTTTGATTATAAATTTAGATAATAAAAATACATTATTCGTAAATGGTAGAATATAATGTGCATTCCCGTTGGGGATGCAAGTAACACACTTTTAATTAGTTTTCTTATATATGTGAGTATTATCCGATTTAAATTTCAAGTAATTTCGGATTTGTTTCTTGTTTTCAAACATCAGCCATGCTGATGATAAACTCCTTATTGCTCTCATCTTCTTCTTCGTCTCCTCGGCTCCTTCTTAACCACACCAAATCTCCTTCCATTCCAATTACCACTTCCAACCTCTCCATATCCAATCCAGCAACTGCTATCAGCACACCTCTGAGATGGACCCCGCAGACCCTTCAGTTTCGGGTCTCATCGTCATCAGCCAATCCGACAGTCAAGGTTGCATCACCGCCGGGAACTGATGGCGATGAGTCTGCTGATGTGGTGGAATCTGGAGCGGACGTTGTGAGGAAGTTCTACGGAGGAGTCAACCGCCAAGATTTGGGTTCAGTGGAGGGGCTCATAGCAGAGAAATGTGTGTACGAGGACCTTGTTTTTCCTCGTCCTTTCGTTGGTCGCAAGGTACTCTTATCTCTTATCCACTTCTCAGCTCTTTTTGTATGTGCTTTTGATATTTGACTGTAATATAATAATTTTAAACTTAAAAATAAACAGAAAAAGTAGTCCAAATTGACAGAATTATAATAAATATTTAGAAATAAAAATAATAATATAACAAGAAGAAAGAAGAATTTGTGGAATTTAAGTGTGTAATCAAACCGCGATTTAAGGATTTTAAAAACTTTTTAAAATAACAATATAGATTTTGGCAGACTTTGACAGATCCTTTATGAACTTTCGAAGATTTATGTAGACTTTTATTACTGACCTTTGAGGATTTACGTGGACGTTCTTTTTTTTTTTTTTTTTTTTTTTTTTTTTTTTTTTTTTTTTTTTTTTTAATAATCGATCTTCTAGTAACAAAATTTCCAAAAAATTTAAGCATCAATAATTTTATTGGAAAAAAAATTCAAAAAAGAAAATCATGTTAACCTAAGGTCCGAAATCACTAACTGAACTGTAGGGTTGTTCCTGCAAAACTTAAAACTGATATTTGTATTTCCAAACATTATGGGTATTGATCCTTCCAGCCCGTCTAGAAAAATGTTTGCATATATAAATAAATTTCAAGTAATTTTTGGATTTGTATTTTCAAACATGATGAAGGAAGTCTTAGGTTAGATTCCCGAACAATTTTTTTATAGAAAAATGTTTAAGCAGCTCCGAATTATTGTGTATTTCATTCTCAAGATCAAGCATCAGCTTCAACAATGCGCAGGACATACTTCAATTCTTCAAAAAGTTCAATGATTCTGTCGGCAAAGACCTTCAGTTTGTTATTGACGACTTATCCGCTGAGGACTCCACGGCAGTTGGGGTAACATGGCATTTAGGTATGTTAATGGAAATTAGTTACACTACGTCTTTCCTCCTCCGTGAGATATATGTTTATCCGATCCTCACTGAAATAGTATGTATTTTCGATCAGAATGGAACGGCAAGCCTTTTCCCTTCAGCAAAGGATGTAGCTTTTATAAGTTGGAGGTCATCGATGGCAAGAGACAAATAATGTAAGGATACTTCAAAAGAACAGATAGCAGTCGTAGCATACACCAGATTATAGTACTGCACGCTCATTCAATTTCGTTCCCGAAGACGAGGAAACATCTTGTGTACTTGTGTATCTCTGTTGAATGCGTGTAGTTTGTTGGGAGACTAATTTTGTCTTTGATAAACAGCTACGGGCGAGATAGTGTCGAACCTGCGATCAAGCCTGGAGAAACTGTGTTGGTAAGTGCTTAACCTCCACACTATCACGCTCTCTCTTTTTTCTTTTCTTTTTTTTTTCAGGGCATTCCATATACTATTTCGAAACCAACATAATCTAAAACAGACGTTTAGGTTGGGGCCTGATCTCTGATGGTTCCAGTCTAAATTCTGTAGTGCAGCCTTCCTGCCATTGGCATTGGATGAACATGTAGAATATGAATATATGTTCAAATTTGCCAATTTCTCGAATTTCTGTTCTGTTTTATCTGCTTTTCAACCTTACGGATACGAAAACTAGATTTGCAGAAATCATAAGACTATAATTCTTTGATGAACTAGGTCAGGTTTCACTTCAAATCCTATATGTTTTACAGATTGCCATCAGAGGTGTGGCATGGCTTCTACGACAATTCCCTCAGCTGATCGACCAGATTTAAAGTTATTTTCTCTACTCTCTTTTTACCTCAAGGAGAGGATATGTACACTTTTTTACTTTGGACTTGCATGAGCAAGCAAATATGATGTATAGGCACACATATAAGTATGTAGAAAATGTGAACTGAACGGAGTATTCATTTCGAAATTCTCGAAAAACAAAGTGATATTGGGGAGGGGGAATCAAACTCATGTCATTGAATGCAGAGTGTAGGTGCTCTTAGCTAATTGAGCTACATGTCTAGTGCTTTTGTTGACTTTTAACTTAAAGGGTTAATGTTGGATTGTTGTGCTTTTTTAATTAAAAAACTGTTTCTGCTATGCTTTAAAATAATTAGCTGTAAAATAAAGTAGTTGGATGTTTGATAAACTGTATTTTTAAAAATGTTTTTTTGAGTATAAAAAGATTCATGTACACTGTGCTGACTCCTCAATATCGACGTACGGCATCATAGCTAATACCATCCAGATGCTATACACTGTACTATGGTAACCCAGCATGAGCAATGCCCCATCAACAAGTATAGGTGACAAGAATTTGTGCTCGATCTAATCCTGTCCGAATACCACAATATGAGCAGCAGTACCAGCAGCAAGTCGAAGAAAATTTGGACCCAAAGGAACATTACTGATGTAGGAATTTGAATCTTCCTTTGCTGGGAGGTGTTCCGGTTGAAGAATGCAGCAATACAATCTCAATGCCACCATCTTGGGGTGACCAGTCCAGGCAGATGGTTGGAATAGCAGGGGTTGCTATGGTGTATTTGGGGGTGTGGTCAATGACGACGTTGCTTGTGCTGTGGTTCCTTCTGCTGCTGTAACCGGCGATGACATGACGGGATGGATAAAGCAGGACTTCAGGCAACACACAAGAAACGATGGCATTTTCAGTTGGTGAGCTATACCGGTCCCAAGCCCGGATAAAGGAAGAGGGGAGTGCGTCAGGTAGTCAACAACCGACACTTCTATCTTACGTCGAATTCTTGGGATGTGATTATATCAACTCACATGCATCGGATCTCTTCTGAACTCCGAAGTTAAGCGAGTCTGAGCGAGAGTAGTGCTAGAATGGGATGATCTCTTGTGAAGTCCTCGTGTTGCATCCCCACGACCGACCCCACTCGTGGAAAAAGGCTTTGTTGTGTTGTGTTTTTGTGAGCTATATCAATAGCTAACAGCTAAAAACACACTGCGCAGCTGTTCACCTCAGGTTTGTTCTTGACAGGGTAACGAGTTGTACGCATGTTTTCTTTTCCATGAGGAAAGAAAAAAATGGCAACCTTCACCTTTTATCCGCGAGATATAAAAAAATTAATAAATATCGAATATATTTATCAATTCACAATATAAGTTTTATCGTAACTCATTTTAGATTTTAAACTTTTGATTATTTTTAAAAAAAAATTTATATCCCCCTCCCATTACAAATTGTCATAATTTCAATCGAACATAACTAATATCAACGTCAATTTAAGCATCGATATTTTTACCTAGATCAATATTTTAAACACCGGTGACTAATTACAAATTTCCAACTTCGCAGGAGGCAGCAAACCCAACGCCAAAATCTCGTTAACCATGAAAAAAAGGCCGAAGTCTCCTCCTGTCATATAATTCGTCCATGGCAAAAAAGGAGGTCCGCGGGAGCACCGACTGCTTCCCTCGGTATCTCCGCCTCCACTTCCGTCTTCTTCTTCTCTCTCCGTTTCGCTCCCTCTCCCTCTCCCTTCCCGCCAATATTCCTGAATCTGTCATTGCGAGACGCCGTCGTTGCAACAATGGCGGCGATTTCGAATCTTGAGGGGTGCAGTCACGGCGGGAACTCAGTCATTTTCGGAGAGAGGAGGCTACAGTTCCGGTCAACTCCTGGATTGAAAACTCGGATCTCTTGGCCCTCTAAGGTATCATATGACATAATTTTTACTTCAATTGCTTTTCATATTTTCCATTTCATCTCAATTATGTAAATTTACGCAGAGAAATGTTGTTGTTAGAGTGACCATTTGAACAATGCTACTTTTTCAGACCATCAATTCGAATAATTGATTGGATGGATGATTGTGAAATTCCAAGTGTTGCACTTTTTATTTTTTTATATTTAATTGTTCAAATTTGTTATATTGTATGTGGGTTTAATCAAGGAATTTGGTTACATTCAAGAAAACTATAATTTATACTTGATTTTTTTAACGAATTCCAATGTGGGCCTGCTGTGTTTTAAGTTTCAAATTTGTAGTGGTATAATACTTCTCTGTTTCAGAGATTAAAATTCGGTTTGATGATCAATTTTTTTTTCACGTAATCATTTTCCCTCTTCTTGATATAGAATCAGTTAGCAGTTGGTCAATAGGGCAAGTCAGATAAGAATTCCGGTGTTCGTACGGCATTAGTTGGTGAGAAGATTGCACGAAGTGGAGATTTTTCCAGGCCTTCTGACATCCTGGTATCAAAAACTACTTTTTCCCCATAGTGACTTAAAACAAATTGTAAATGTGTCTTCTTTGGAATGTAGATGATGTTAGTCTGAAGTTTCAGGCTACTTAATTAACATTTTTTTTTTGGTTTTGTTTTTATTTGGCAGGCATTTGATCTTGTTCAAGGAGCACTTGTAAGTCGTTGTCTTTAATCTCCTGATAAGCTGATATTTAGTGAGTTAATGATTGAGAACTTGATGCAATTGTTGTTCAGATTCTAACGGTTCTCGTTCATATAAAAGTACCATACTTTTGTTCTGCCCCACTACCTATATTAAAATTTAACAAACTAAATTGAGGAACAATCTCAAATGTGCTAGTCAGTGAAGATGAGAAATCATGAGGAGTTGCCACATAGTTTACTTTTATTGTTTGAGTTTGCATAATCACATATCTGAATAGTCACAGCGTGCAGGTAAAATGGAGTCCGGATGTGGTTGTGGACAGGTCATTACCTGAGCCTCCAACAGCTTTTTTTCTGCATGGAATTGTACGTAGCAGGAAGAACTGGGGTACGTTTGTTCTTTTCCCTTTCTATTGTTCTCCAGTTAAGAGTCCCTTTTTGTACTGTTCTGTGGCATGTAGGAGTTTTCTCGTGTATTACTTTTCAATTCATATCTTTGCAGCATTAGCAACAAAGTGGTGGTAGTGGATTTTCTATTGTTTGCTGTGCATAAATAGTCTGCGGTTTTATCCGTAATATCTGATATTGCAGGAACCTTCACCAGGAGATTGGCACAAGAATTTCCAACATGGCAGGTATGCTTTTGTACTTTAACTTATCATGAATGAATTGTGTATTTATGTGGTAAAGCTCATAACATTTAATTTTCTTATAGAATTTCCGACATGGCAGGTAACGTCTAGGCTTATTTATTTGTCTGCAGTATTGTGACAAATTGATTATACTAAGTGATCCTATATACCACAAACACAAGCACCGCCAGTACAGATCTGCCACAAAGACACACAAGGCACACACAAAATCATTGCTAACAAGCAAGATCACATTACTCAGCCCTGGGCGAGCAGTAGTCCACCCAAAGTTTGAGAGCTAAACCCAAAATCCTAAGCTCGAAAACGGTGATTCTGCACCTCAAATTATTAAGTCCCAGACCATGCTAAACGCTACACTTCTAACGCTCAATAACCGCTTGTAACCATGGGTAATTTGCAAAAGTTTTTAAAGCAATACTTTAATTGTCTCAAGGGGATAGAAGAAAAATGGAAACAATAAAAACTTGGGCGGCACTTAGAAATTGATCTCTCACTTGAGGTTCTTTTAAATAGTTTTCTGTGTTTTTGGGGTGTGTATTTGGATATATTGAATAGGGAATTTTTATATTTGGTCATGGTGACAATCTTATGTTATTCTTCTATTTATTGGCAAAGTTTCTGTTAGTGGGCCTGCGGTGTCATGGTGATTCAGCATCAAGTAAGAAAAGTGGACCCCATAGTGTTTCGTCCACTGCTCTTGATGTCCTAAAACTGGTACGTGTTTCTTGCGCACTTGCTGCCATTATTTTTGAAGGACAAGTTTCCCCATTGTTATATATTAACCTATTTTTCCAAGAAAAGTTTCAGTTATTGTTCTGAATTAGATGAATCTCACAGGCTTCATCTATGTTTCTTATGCCTATATTTTTCTTTCGTACTTGCACACTTCTTTGTAACTTCATCATTATTTTCATGAACAGTGTTGTATGCACAGCATTTGAACACTCCCAGATGTTTGTATATTTTTGTCTAGTACCTTCTCATGCTTCAGATACAATTATGTGAGGTAATGTTGTTTCTTCTTCCTGTATAGGTTCGACGGCTTAGATTAACACCTCGGGTTATAGTCGGACATAGTTTTGGAGGGAAAGGTATCTTAGGCTATTTTGGCGTGTTGCATACCTTTATTGGAGAGTGCTAGTACACAGTACATCTGCACCATCTTAAAATGGATTGATGCTTACTATGTTTCTGGTTTTCATGTAGTTGCCTTAAGCATGGTGGATGAAGCTGCAAAAACTCTTGCACGACCAGTCAGAGTGAGTAATGGGAATATATTGAATATATATCCTTGAAAGTTCGAGGGTCTCTGGACATTATCCTTATTTTCGTCTCACTAGTTGTTTGTCTAGGTTTGGGTTCTAGATGCTACGCCTGGAATAGTTCATCCTGGTGGGGATGGGGAGGACCATCCAGAAGAATTGATTTCTGTCCTAAGTACACTGCCAAACGAGGTGAATACATGTTCAATAGTTGTTTCATTTCTTTTTTTTTTTCGAAGTTGGGCGCCTTTAGGTATTGTAGTCCTTTTATTATTTAATTATTTGTCTTTAGTATGTCTTTCTTGCCCCTTTTTATCATCATTTGTCTCTCCATTTACAACTCTTAAGGTAAATTCATGTAATACAACTTGATATCAGATCATTGTTAATCAGTTTATTACACGCTTTTGGGTCTTACTGAATAGAGATACATGTACACCACTACAGTGACCAAAACCTGAAAGGTTTCATTCTCACTGTGTTTGTTGTAAAGACTTCTACCAATTTGTCTTTCAATAAAAAGTTCATTCTACCAGTTTTTCTTAGAGGCAGGTTTCCTCAAAGCAGGATGTTGTGGATGCTCTAGTTAATAAAGGATTCTCCAAAGATGTTGCACAGGTACTTTAAACTGTGAGACATGCTTGAATGGAATAATTTGTAGTTTGGGCTTTGAAATTTTTTATGTATGGATCAGTTTGGTATTTCTTATTTCCGACATTAATACTTAGCCTAATTCATATTTGGTCATTACATTTTGTTTCTTTATTG